TTCCTTGATAAACATTAAATGCATCCATAAAATTAGCTTTTTTTAGCACGATTTTATGATTTATACTTAGGCATTATTTATTTTTATCTTTTAAGCCGTTGATTTTGAGAGAGTAGTGTAGAATAATAATAGCTACAATTTTAATTATATTAGTTAGGAGCGGTTTTCAACAAATTATACCATAGGTAAATTTAATTTTTTTAACCCTTAATTCCACTTAAACTATAATTAACCGATTTAGGTTTATTTTAACTCTATACTTATAATTATAATTTACCAAATATGGTTATGTATATCTATAGATCATTAAAATAAAATGTTGCCCCTGAATATTAATATTTAAAGAGGTAGTTCTAAGGAAAAACCTATGGCACATTTTTTTTCTGATGAAGCAACATTACTTAAATTAAACTTTTTATTTTTAAAATAACTAACCTAAAAAAATTCTCTCCGATCTTACGTTCTGATTTTAGTTCCAGCCCTGCTTTATTTTTATAAAACGCATTTTTTCTGTGATAAAACCTATAGATGCTTACCAAATTAATTAAATGTGAGAGAATTGTTTTAAGATTTGTAGATAAATAATTATTTACAACTTTGTTAACTCTTCTATAGTAAGTTAAAGTAAGTCTTCTCTCTAAAAATGAATTAGTTAAAAATGACTAATTTAATAGTTATTAGTGGCTGCTTTTTCACATGTACCATGTTTAACCATGGAATACCATGGTATCCCAATTCTTATGTAAAATTGTCCCCTGAATCCGAAAATACCGTCAAAAATTTTGAAAGTGGAGCAGTTTTTGAGATATAGTCAATTCCATATTAAATGGAAAATTGACTAAATCTCAAAAAATGTTTTACTTTTTTAACTTTTGACGGCATTTTCGGATTCAGGGGACAATTTTACATAAGAATTGGCTGTTAAATTTTGGGATACCCTGGTATTACAATGTAATAATTACATGGTTAACCGTGGTACAAGTGAAAAAGCAGCCACTAATAACTATTAAATTAGTCATTTCATTTTTAAAGAGTTTAGTTTTTAAAATTATTATCACGTAATAAAAACTTCAAAACCATCACTTTTTAAACCAGTTTATTAATTAACGTTAAATCCAAATTAACCAAAGCTGTGGTTAATGTGCCAAAAAGTTATATAAAAAAAACTAAAACAAAATAACTAGTCTTAACCATTTTTAAAGGTTAAATAACCTATATTTTAACTTATACCTTATTACCTAGGTTAATTTAGGTTATTAGTTTAAATTGACTATAAATAAACCAAATATTTAACTAGTTAGAAATATTACCATTAGGTTTAGTAGTTAAAATATACTAAAAAATAACCTTTGAATTTACCTTAAGGTTATAGCAACTGGTTGGTAAATTTAAAGTGTTCTTTTTTAGTTCATAGTAACCTTAAAAAAAATTTAATGGTTGAATAAAACTAATTGGATAAAAAAACAAGTTTAAAAGTTTTACTTTTGGTTAATTTACTTAGAATGCTAGTTATTTAACCAGTGGGACTGGTTTGCCAAATTTTGTCATGGTCTTAGGTCGATTTTGCATAAACATATAAAAAACGTCCTTATTTGTTTGACCAAGACAATTTCCCAGCTTACGAAGCCGCCATAACCATGGATGAAATCAAGAAAGTAGGCTGGGAATTCATGTTGCATCCTTCGTTTTTTCCAGATTTGGCCCCCTGTGACTTTTTCCTATTTCGAGGACTAAAAAAATCGTTGTCTGGAAAGATATGAAATAAATGTACCGAGCTAAAAGAATATTATGTTTAAAAATAAAACTTTATTTGACTCAAAATATTGCTTTTTCATACTAATTCTACATTATAAAATTTATATTTTTTAATAGAAATGAAGTTTTTTAACATAAAAAGAACTTTATTATTGAAAAAATTACTTATTTCCCAATCCTTTCTTATTCAATGCATAAATGCAACGGATGATGCATCATCTTACAAACCATAAATAGCACATTTATAAGTACAGAGCATTTACTGGCTCAACGCTTTGCAACTGGGTTCAACGAGGTTAACTCAATAAATTGTGTTGTTATTATTATTCAATTACTTAGGCACTTAAGGAGACGACGACAATGTAATTGTTTTAAGTTAATGTTGATTTAACTATTCTTATTTGAACGTGTTGGTGTACCCATGTTCTGCGCGTCATGTGTTGTCCAATTAGAAGAGATTTGCGATGTAACAAAGCAAATAAGGCCGCATTACATTATTCCCATATGATTTTTTATTTTTTGTGTCATATTTATATTTCAAAACCTAAGTATGCCAGTACCTGTTTACCATTGAAATGAGAGAAAAATTGAAGGCAAAAAATATGCATCGTGATTTTAAAAAAGTGGACTAAATACCGTTTGGTACACATATTTAATTCAAATTTAATTCTCCAAAACATTTTTTTTGTATTTTAATAATAATTTAAATTTCGATTTTTGACTTGCGGTCTGGTAAAACATATTCCCAAGTTAGAAATTGTTACTATATTTTTTATAAATGTCGCTCTACACAAATATTTAATTTAAATCATTTTTAGATAATAAGTATTTTTCGTAGAAAAAGTATAGTATGCAACTAGTTTATAAACTTTTCAAGACACTCATTTAATTAAGCACTCTCTCGCAAGCTCGCCCGTGCCTAGATTAAATTCGTAACTAAAATGGCGTTTATCAAACTTGATACATAATATACTATTATAGAAAATATCCAAATCATACGCTGTTAAAATTTCTATCTCTACTTTACAATAAAATAAAGGAAGTTTTATGCCTAATTGTATAAGTAATATTACTGTAGTAGTATTGTATTTTTCGTAAACTGTTTACAAGTTGATCTTGTAAATTTACATCAAAAATACTAATATAATAAAATTATGTAAATTTACTGATTCAGTATAGTAATTGTCATTCTCAAAACTAAGATTTGTAATTTAACTATACTTTTCAATAGTAAATTTTATTTAGAAAATTTATCATTATTTTTAACAGTGTAGGGTGATTTGTTTTGAACAAAAATATTTTTTTTTTTACTTCCATAGCAAAATATTGATGTATACAAAAAATCCCTTTAAGTTTTAAGCCTTAAACTTACTTCTAAGTACTGCTCTCAATAAAGTATGCTCCCTTCCATTAAGAATAACGAAAAGAGTTAAGAAGACTTTTACATGCATTAATGCATGGCTTCAAAGATATTTAATAACATTTACTGGCGAATATTTAAAAAGTAAATCGTCAAGTTTTATAAACGCTGTTTTAGTTACGAGTTTTATTAGGCACGAGCGAAGCTTGCGGGCGAGTGTTTAATAAAAACGAGTGTCTAGAGAAGTTTATAAAACTAGTTGCATACTATACTTTTTCTACTCCCACCTTTAAAACGCCCTTTATCGTACATGTTTCCATGACACTAAGTGACCTTTTAAATACACATTGTCAAGTTGTGGCTTTATGGCGCTTTAGTCACGGGCTGAAGTTAGTTTTAAGTTAGTTGACAGTTGTCAAATCTCACACAATCGTTAAAATAAAGTGCCTTTCTTGTAAAATAATACTAAATGTGAAAATTATTTTATTATCTCAATACAAAAATACAAAAGTATTAAATAGTTTCTCAACACCAATATTTGAAAAGTTTATAACATTGTACTGACCTTTTAATTTCGCCGGCAGTAAACTATAACTTAAATTCAGTCACGCACTCTACTGTAAAGTCCTCATAAAACATTTTCTTAACTTTCACTGTGAAAAACTGTCAATTTTCAAGAAATACATTTCGATTTATAACCTTTATAATTGTGATTATAAAATAAAAAATGTGACATTTGACGGTGACACACAGTTTCCCTTATTGTTTCATAGATGGCGCTCTATACAAATTTTTGATTTAAATCATTTTAAGATAATAATAAGTATTTGTCGTAGAAAAAGCGCAAGCTCGCTCGTGCCTAAATTAAATTCGTGTATAAAATGGCGTTTATCAAACTTGATAAATAATATACTATTATCTACGACGTACAGAAATAAGAATTTAAAGGCAATTCATAAATATTTGACATTTGACGAATTTAACCTCACTTTTTTACAATTTATAATAAAGCCAAGTTCAGCCTGTGACTAAAATGCCTATATGTCCTTTTTAATTTTAACCTGTTTCGAAATAAAAAACATATTACTTTGGCCAGTTGTAATAGAATTGCTGCAAGTACTTTTAAAGAGCATCTAATCATCCAAAAATCACAGGCATGTAAACTTCAGCAGGCTAAAATTCTAAAAAGTTATAGGAAATTAAAAAAACCTTAATTTTCTGTTACTACAACGGAAAAACTTTAAAATCAAAATTACTTAGAAGTAAGATTAAGGGCTGAAACTTTAAGGGAAAGTATCCTATATGTATTCTTCTATGGGTATTTTTTTTATTTGAAAAGTTACAATGTTGGTTAAATTAGAGAAAAGTTGCGTGAATTAAAAGATAAAACTGAAAACCTGTCAAAACCAAAAATCGTTATTACTATGTTATTCCTGGGAATTTTGAAAAAAAGTAAGTCTGACATAGGCATTAATTTAAACTGGATGAAAATAAATTTTTATGTTTACATGTAAAAGTTACTTTTTTAGAATTTACTCAAATAAAGAATTTATTACGATTTTTGGTTTTGAGAGGTTTTCAGTTTTTTTCAAATTATTTGAGATTTTTCAAATAAGATACACATGGAAGAATACTTGGTGCACCCTGTATACATTAATATTTTGCAATGGAAGAAATAAAAAATGTTCGTTCAAAACGAATCACCATCAAGATAATTTGTAGCTATGCTAGGATCTGGTAGGTCGCTGTAGACAAGTTATTAATTAATTAATCCCGGCGCATTCGCCATTTTTGAAACAAACATTTTTAAAGCAAATATTTATATGAAATTATCATTTAAAACCTGCCGTTCTATAAAGTTTTTAATTGTGAACTTTTGTTGCAGATATCGACTACATAAAGAGAGAAAACTTTTTAGACATCCTGGACAATGGAGCAGTCCTGTGCCATTTGGCTCATATCGTACACGATTTTGCAGTCGGTGCTTTCAATAGAGGTGCATACAAAGGGGTAAGTTTGCAAAACGAATCCATTTAGACACACTATTAAACGGAATTGCATTATTTACGCAGAAAATACCAGTTATCAAAACAAAATGCTTCGAAAAAGCAGCCAGGAGGAGTTTCTACTCCAGAGATAACATGGAGAATTTCATTAAATTTTGTCGGTCTTTGGGTGTCCACGAGAACCTATTGTTTGAGAGTGATGACTTGGGTAAGAAAATACAAAATCTTTATCAAAAAAATAATTCCATAATAAGAAATAATCTACATAATATAAGTTTTAAAGAAATTAAATGTTAATAAAATAGGCAAATCTAAAAAACCATCTCTGCATTTTTAAATAAATTGGGGTTAATGGACCTATAATAACTTACTTTTTAAAAACTCCTTTCAATTAAGGACATCTGTTTTTTGAGTATTTATTTTTTTATATAGAGTAAAACTCTTCTCTTTTGTGGTATTTTCTATTAATTACATTGATTAAGGTTATAATATCATAATTTTGGTTTACTGCAACATTTTCATTTTATTAGTTCTGCATAATCAACCAAGAAACGTCATTCTGTGTCTGCTGGAAGTGGCAAGGATTGCCACAAAATTCGGCGTCGAACCTCCTGGGTTGGTACAACTGGAAAAAGAAATCGCAGAACAGGAAATCAACAATTCTGCAGGCGATTCAATGTTGTCGTGGCAATTCCAGGCCGCCACACCACCCAGAGTTGACAGCAGTTTGAAAATGAAACACAGCAAGTAAGTCTTGAATTTATAATTTTTTGCCAAAGTGTTGAAACCAAATTGCTCTACAATAATGACATTTTAAAGGTTTTATAGAAAGTAAAAGGTGTTTCAATTTTTGCACTGGATGTTGTTGATTGTACTGTACTTCGTTTTGTAGCGATATGACAATATGATGTCACTTCCGTCTCGTGTTGTTTTTTCTGTTTACTCCCCATCTGGAAACCTCTTCCAATGGAAATTAAATCCTCGACTCATATCAAGTATAAAATATATTTTTTTTGGCCCAAATACCTCCCCACGTAAGACATGATGAATAATATTCATAAGCAGATTTAAACGCCTGACTTAGGTGTAGAAATCAGAACATACATCTTGAGAATCTTGACCCGTTGAGAAGTATTCAGCACCTTGAGTTACCTACAATAGATTTATATTCATTACAAAGTGTTCAAAGTATTCGGACAAGAGCTGCGAATATTAAAGGTCAAATCTTGAATAGGACCATATTTAGATTGAATACGGCCAATAGTTTTTCATTTTCGATATTGTGTTGAGTTGAGTTGTAGGAATTTGGAATTTTTTATTTTTATACTGATAAAGTAGACAACCTAATTAATTACGGAACGAAATATCGAAGAAATTCCCCGCATGACTGCTGGCGCACCCTGATTTATTGCATGATAAATTTCCTAGAAGAGTCATTTTACGTAATAGACAGAAATTGGCCACCGAGATCGTGTGATCTGACGACCTGCGATTTTTTCTGTGGTTATCGCGTCTACTCTAACAATTCCACAACGCAACAGCAGATAGTCGAAAATGTGGTCCATGATTAATCGCAAGGTGTAAAAAATGTAATCCTTACTTTATAAAGCAACACATTATAAACATATTTAATGTGGCGCTCTTATTGGGACACCCTTTATTAACTTTTTAAACAACATTTACAAGTCATTGAATTAATTCACATTTAGTGAGGTCCTTAAGGGATGTTTCTACTTTGTTTGATCTAAAATCAAGGTAATTTCCAGAAGATGGATATTTCCTGTTCGTATAAAAGATAGGGAGATTTATATCATTTATACGAGAAGTCTGTAGAAGTCAAATCAGAGATGTTCAGAAATAAAATTAATTGTAGATTAAAAAGTTTAGCATAATGTCTTTAATATTTGTTAAACATAGATTTTTAATTCGCAGTGATTGTGCTGCCATCTAGCGACAGAATTAGTTTGGAATACCAGGGAGTCCAAACTTTCAATCCGAATTAAAAATATCACATTCAATTAAAAATATTTGCTTATTAAAAAAATAAAAATTAAAAGGGATTAAAAATATCTCCTATGAGATTTTTAATGCATTTAAAATTTTGTTGATATTTTTAATTTAAAGAAATGAAAAAAATGTGTTTAACTAAAAAATACGCATTTAACAAAAAGATATTTTAAATTCACCTAAAAATATTAATAACAATTAAATTTAATTTTTAAATATTCACTATGACATTTTAAATTCGTAGAATTAAAATTCTTATATGATATTTTTTATCTAATTGAAAATATCACTTTGGTGTTAAAACATAAGAATAATTCCTGAATAAAAAATTAAACGGCGCCCCATAAGGATCCAATAGGCCAATTGTACCAAATTATTCAAAATTAGGGTTGGGGAAATTTCACTTTTTGCTTGTACTTGAAATTTCACTTGAAATTTTCATGGCATTTATGAAATTTATTGAAACTTTCAATAAATTTCAATAACTTTAAGTGTAATATATTAATATTGAAATAAGCTCACTTGGGGACCATGGCAAATTGCCTCTCTTACCTCCTACCCCTCTGTGGGCCCCTGCACCAATAATATAAATAGTAAATACCTATGTTTACCAAAAGTTTCTTGAGATTTCCTTTTAAAATATTTTTAAAATTACTAAAACTAAAAGAGATATAGCACTTTTTGGTAAGCTAATGAGATTGTGCCACTCATTGTTTTATATTTATATATATTTATTATTTTTAAATATTTTACTGAAATTTTACGAAAATTGAAGAAACTTCATCAAAATTTTATGAGCCAAAGGCATTTTTTATCCGTTTTCCGATGCAATTATAGCAAAAGTAAAAGTTTAAATTAATCATGACTTAAAAAAATTTTAAAGTCTGATTTAATTTACAAATTAAATTGGTATCTGAATTAAATTAATTTATGCATATAAGTAACAATAATTACTTATAGTGTATTTAAATCCAAGCCGAACTAAACAAAAACGCCCAGACGTTTGATAACTAGTTCTTATTGGTCGATTCGGAATCTGTTGTAAATTATTATTAAAGGTCCCAGGGGAGGCCGCATGTGAAATTTATGCGAAATTTTCAGTAAATTGCGAAACTTTCAATGAAATTTCTGAAACTTTCACAGGCAATGTTGAAATTTTCGTATTGAAAATTTCATTTGAAATTTTTAAAAAATTCACTTTTCCAAATAAATGAAATATTTCAAGTTTGAAACTTTCAAAGTTGAAATTTTCATTTGAAAATTTCAACTGTCCCAACCTTATTCAAAACTGTAACAAAATTAATTGAGAAATATTTTTTCAGTTCCACTTCGGCAATATCAGCTTACGCAAGCTGGAACGGTCCGAATATGATTCTCACGCCTGAAAGAGGTGCAGGAGATGGTTTATCCTCCCTCCAAATGGCCACTCCAAGTGGTGCCAGCGATGGCGTGCCTAGTGATAATACAGAAGACGACGATTGGTCTAGGGGCAGTGGAGAGGATCCAGATCTTAGCGTGTAAGCAACAATTCTTAACATACAATTTTGATATAAATATTATTCAGATAATTTTAGCTATTTTAGCTTACAAAAAACGTAATTTCTTTATCTGAAACTAATTTTAGCGTGGTGGATTCGCGATCCCACACTCCAGGTCCTGCTGGAGACGGCCATAGACTAACGGAATTGGACAGGAAGGTGCAGACTGCTGCCAGACTAATGCAAAGAAATTGCAATTGCTCCAGCGGAAAATGCAACAAACTAAACGTCAGCAAAGTTGGCGAAGGAAAATACAACATTGCCGGGAAAAATGTTTTTATCAGAGTAAGTACCCACCTACTTAAAATTAATAAAAACAATAATTATTTTTGTTTACACCATAGCTGAAAGTAAGCACAAAAGATGATCAAAATAAATCACCTGATTTGCTTAACACAATGACACAATTTTTGGCTTTAATCGTTTTTAAATTGCTTAGTAAAACAAAGCTACATAATATTATAAACATTGTAAACAATACATAAAATGATTTTATTATGATACGCCTTTGGTAAAAATTTGCATTTTGAAAAAAATTCTATATTTAAACCCAATACTTTACAACTTTCCCATTAGTTAAATCCTTAAATTCATTTTGATGATTTGCAGAAATAAAATAATTCTTTTGCTTTTGACTTATTTCTGCAAATTACTTAAATTGATTTGTCTGGTTTTGTCTGATCGCTCCTCATATAATTGTGATATTTTTCTGTAAAAAAAGAATTGTTTGTTTTGGTGGAGCAATACATTTGTCTTTTTTCTACTCCTATTATGGAATATGACCGTTGTAACATCACTTTAATGTGGAATTACATAGTGTTTGCGACTCACCCCTAAAATCTTTATTTATTGTGCGATTATAACCGGATTTGTTTTAAAGTGTAGATCTTGATAAACTGTATTGCAAAATAAAAGGCCTACTATGTAAGTTTTTAAAAGTAAATTTTTAAGAATTTATATTAGCGATTTTTTTAAACAAAATCTAAGCATGGCACTGGATTCACCACCCCTCAAAACGACCCTACCCTACCATGTTACTTAGACTGGTTCAAAAAAATCGAATATTTTTTTTTCTTCAAAGCCCGCATTAAAATATCTTCCTAGTAGTAAAAAAAGAAGCCTGTGAAAATTGTAGCTCTTAATATAAATATTTAGAGGTCGCTCATCGTGAATTTTTATTTTACGTTTAAATAACACAGGAATTCTTTTTTCTTAACTTTGAAATTTTATAACTCGTTTTTGAGTAAACATATTGGTATGAACTCTATATATTTTTGAATAAAATTGAACGTTCTACAAAAAATGTCTCCTATAACTTTTTCGTAAATTCACTCCTTTAATAGTTATTCAAGGTTGAAATTAGACATATAATAAATGTAACGTTTAAATAACACAGGAATTTTTTTTAACTTTTAATTTTATAACTTTTTTTTGAGTGGACATATTGAAATGAGCGATAATTTTTTTTAAGAAACATAATTTATATAAAATTTTTAAAAAAGATTATACAGGGCAGTCCAGTTTGTGATACATTAATTTTAAGGTAGACTTTCATTAATTAACATTTCTCAAAAATGTTTCCTAAAAAAATACAGGCCGTCAAAGATTACAAAAAAACTAGTTTTCTCTTTATAACTTTTAAACCACAACATTAATTTTCATCAGATTTGGCACAAAATGTAATATAGTCAGTGCCTTAATAATAAAAGGGGAGAAGTACCCCCTTTCACCTCAGTCTTTGACGCCACTAAAAATTTTAAAAATTTAAATAAATTTGTAGGTCAAGTTTTTAATTTAGAGAAAAAATTTACTCTTGTAAAATTTTGATTTGGGTCTTTGTTTCTGAAATATTTGCTTAAAAATGTTTCCTCGCAGAGACGCTTTCCGTCAAACTTTACAAAAAAACTCGTTTCCCCATCATAACTTCTAAACCACTTAATCAATTTTTATCAAATTTTGTACACAATATAGTCAATGTCTTAGTAATGATGTGGATAATTATTTAAAGAAAACATCAGTGGCGCAGTTACTTGGGGGGCTGCTACGCTTTTCACCTTAGGCGCCACTGGAATTTTTTTTAATAATAAACATATTTTTAGATTATCTGTTTAAATTAGAGAAAAAAACTACTCATGTAAAATTTTGATTTAGTGCTTCATTTTTTAAATAATTAATTTATTTATTCAAGAATACTTTTGCCGCAGTTTTTTTGGAGTGTGTTCCCAAATATTTCAAAAACGAAGCCCTAAATTAAAATTTTAGCACAGTAGTTTTTTTATCTTTAAATTGAACAGACAATCTAAAAATGTAATTTTGCGAGGAAACATTTTTGAGCAAATATTTTAGAAACGAAGCCCCAAATCAAAATTTTACAAGAGCAAATTTTTTCCTTTAATTAAAAACTTGACCTAAACATTTATTTATTATTTTAAAATTTCCAGTGGCGTCAAAGACTGAGGTGAAAAGGGGAGCAGCCCTCCCAAGTAACTGCGGCACTGATGTTTTTTATAATATTTATCTACATAATTATTAAGGCACTGACTATATTACATTGTGTGCCAAATTAATTTTGTGGTCTAAAAGTTGTGAAGAGAAAACTATTTTTTTTTTGGAAACTTTGACAGCCTGTATTTCTCTTAGGAAACATTTTTAAGAAATGTTTTTTTATGAAAGTCTACCTTATTTTTGATGCTTTATCACCTATTAAAATTAATGTATTACAAACTGGACCATCCTGTACAATAATGAGTGATAAGGTTTATTATTATCCCACTAATCGAAAAAAAAACGTTAAATTTATTATTTGTCTAATTTCAACCTTGAATAACTATAAAAGAAGTAAATTTATAAAAAATATATAAGAAACATTTTTTGTAGAGCGTTCAATTTTCTTTAAAAATATGTGTCGCTTATTCCAATATGTTCACTCAAAAACGAGTTATAAAATTTCAAAGTTAAGAAAAAAGAATTCCTGTATTATTTAAACTTAAAATAGAAATTCACGGTGAGCGACCTCTAAATATTAATATTAAGAGCTACAATTTTCACAGGCTTCTTTTTTCACTACTAGGAAGATATTTCAATGCGGGCTTTGAAGAAAAAAATATATTCGATTTTTTTGAACCAGTCTAATGTTACTATTGGTTAAATTTTATTTCAATGTTTTTTCATAAAATTTAGTATTGAGGGGTGGTGAATCCAGTGCCTAATAAAACTCATAACTAAAATGGAGTTTATAAAACTTGATAATATACTATTAATATTAATATCCAAGTATTTTAAAATTCAAATAAATATTTAAAAATAATATTAACAAGTATTCAAGTCTCTAAAGTTTTCCCAGCCTTTGATTTTATGCCCAAACTTTTGAAGATTTTTCCTACCATATTTTATATTTATACGACTGCGAATATTTTTACTACATTTTTTTGTAGTATTATTTTTTTTATTTTTTAACTAGTAATTTTCTACAATAAAGTAAGTAACTTTTTAGAGCATTTAAGCTTTTTAGAAGCTTTTTATTTAAGATTTCAAGCTTAAAATTTTAAAATTTTGTACTACCATATATATATTTATACGACTCACACTGGGGCAGGGACACTCAAAACATGGCAGAATTAATAAAATTATATAAGGATTTAAATAACAAATTAATACTTTATTACAAATTAAAGTATCATTTTTAAATAAAATCAACACGCTGGTTTGGTGCAAGACTATCCCAAGTCCATTTTCAAAGAATTGGAGAAAAACACTATTGAACATTTCTATTGTTTTTTGCGTCATTCTTTTAAAAATTGGAAGGTTTTACATCCAAAGATTAATAAATAAATACATATTATGCAAAAAACAATTTAGTTACAATCAATAGAAATGTTTTACAGTGTTTTTCTCCAATTCTTTGAAAATGGACTTGGGATAGTCTTGCACCAAACCAGCGAACATAAATAGTAAATAAATAACAATTTAATTTGTTTTTATCTATTTTGCGTTCATAATGACCATTGTAACACCGCTTTCGGTGCTGTAATAAGGTACTTTACCCCACTTAAAATTTTAATTTTATAGATTGGCTACTTTAAACAGCATACTAGTAAAATAATATTTTGCATATTGGTTATAATATTTTTATGATATTTCTAGTACTTGGGAGATACAAAATATAAAAAAATGGCGTATGAAAAATCCTTAAACTTAAAAAATCCGAGCTGTATTACATATTAAATTTTGAAGGCATCCTATGGAAACTCTTTAAATGGAGATTCAACCTTAAACCACTAATAAAAATTACCCAATACAATAACGAAATATTTTAATTCTCACAAGAGCTAGTCCAGTACATATTAATATATTTTTTAGCAACTTCAATTTATTTAATGCCATTTATGAGGGTTATTTGCCCCACTGTGCGAATATTTTTCCTACAATTTTTTAATTTTGAATTACTTTAGGGTTCTTTTTTACAATAGGGTCAAAAACTGTAATTTTTTAAAAGCTTTGCTGAAGCTTTTTATTTAAGGTTTTAAGTTCTAAAACTTTTGAAGATTTCTCCTACCTTACTTATGGTAGGAAATATCTTTCCTACAATACTTTAATTTTGAAATAACGCACGCCGTTTCCGTTTACCCAAATTCCCTTCAAAATGATGCTACAACAAACCAAACGTTTCCTTCTTTTCAGCTTCTCAAGGGTCGTCACATGATGGTGCGGGTCGGAGGTGGCTGGGACACCCTCGACCACTTCCTGTTACGTCACGATCCATGCCAGGTGAAGGTCGTTTCCAGAGACACTGGCTCGCGACCGGCCAGTGCCTCTAAGTATCTCACCATTCGCGCAAAGTACCGCAGTCCGCCGCCCGCTAGGGAGGGCGCCACGCGCCAGTAGGCAACACCCTACACCGCAAGCTTTGCTTTCAAAAGATATTCCACTGTTAACATAAAGTCATTTATGTTTAACAGTGGGATATCATATTATTTTTTGCTTGATAAAGCAATATTTATTGAAGTAGTGCTTCCAATAGTTTTTTTATATCATAGTATTAATAAGTCTACATTTGCTGCGCAAATTTTATCGTAAGGTATCTCATAAAACACGTACTCAACCATATCATTTAAGTTATAAGCATTTAAGGGTTATTTATTTAAAAAAACCTTTAGTAATAAAAAATAAGTACCTATAATATTGTGGCATTTTAATGTAAATACATAAGTTAATTTGTAATTTTTATGAACTTTGATAATCATTTGTTTTATTTAGAATGAAACTTAAATACATATTTATACACATCTTGTATAACATATGATATTTAAAAGTTATCTTTATTTTTAAATAGGTTTTTGAAGGGTTACATGTAAAATACTACAATGTTTAAACATTAAAAATAAAATTAAGAACATTACTATTTTTAGGTAATTTAAATTTTTTATAAGACTGGTTCTTTAGTAACAATATTTTATAGGTATTAGTTTAATAGAAAATAATAAATATTTTCGAAATCATGCCAAAGATACGATTAGGAAATAAGGTATATTATAAAATTTCATGTAGATTTTTATTTCCACCAGCAAGTTCAAATGTAGTTTATTTTATTTACCTTTTGTAGTTAAAATTTCATTCATATAGCATATAGCACTAATTGTAAGTTTTATAAGGGATTTCATAAGTAATTTTTGTAAATATTTTTTTACAATTAAATACCTAATTATACACTATTTTTGTTTTATTTTTTTTTACACTCAAGTGCACCAATAAAAAATTAGTATTAACATTTTTATTTTAGGAACATGAGAAAGAAATTAAAAGAAGAATTTATTTTGCACCAGCACTCAAAAAAGTTCCCAATGTGGCAAAAAAGTTTACTTATTATACAAGATTTGCAAAGTTGGTACGACCAGGAGAAACAGCAGTATAAGATTTAAAAATTAGCATTAGACATTTTATATTTTATATAGTTTTTATTATTAAAACACTATTATAGGTTTTACTTAAAATATATTTACTCGCAAAACATTCACAAATCATACATATATAAAAATATAAAATTATGTTTATAATATAAATTATTAAAAGATGCACGTACATACTTTGGTAGATAAAACATGAACAATTTAAATTATTGATTTGTTCTTAATCATTAAATTGTCAAGATTTAAAATTAGCAACACTTTGAGTCGAATTTGCAATAATATTATGTTAAAATTGATTATTGTAGTTTAATATGTACTGTTACATAACTTTATGTTACAAAAAGACTCAAATACATAAAATATTCGATGAGATAAAATTTCTTAAAGATTAACAATACAAGTTAATGTTTAGAGCCTGCAAATTGTATTTCTTTTCTTTATAAAATGTGTAAAATTTACTATTTAGCTATAATTATTCTATTTGGACATATAATAGAATAAAATTATAGAAATAAAATGCGATATAAAATTTCAAGTAACATCATAAAATACTGCAATACTAGCAAGCTAGTTTGTGAGTTAAAACAAACACGAAATAAATTAATAAACTTTATCGTCATAGCCTAATCATATATACTGTCATAAGATTTGTTACCTAAATTAAGAAAAAGAAATAAAATCAACTCACAACATAATTACTTTTTTTTACTTTTGCCCAGGGTCAAAGTGTGATGACTTGTACCCATTTGCTGATACTGAGATTTTCTTCTGTTGAACTCAATTAGGTCGTCCTCCAATTTCTTCCTTTGCTCTTCAATTTTCTTTTTTTCATCAGTGTGATCCTTCTTTAGTCTGTCAAACTTTGCATGTAACTAAAAAAGCATTTATACAATGTCGAAAATTCCTTAATATTCTATATCCAACAAGTAAGAGAGAGACGAATGTATTGGGATTGATTGTGTAATTGCTCTTTTGCTTGTTGTATATATACATATGCAAAGTAAATTTGTTGGTTACAAAAATATATAAAAAAAAATTCTTTTTTTGGTAATGTACAGTTGTATTCAATAAAAAAGCGTACAAAAATTAGAATGAGAGAAAACTGTCAAAATAATATTATTGCTTAAAACCGGCTTATCACTGACATAAGTCATTAAAATAATTAATATAGGTTATAAAGAGCATTGACGTCGTAGGTTAATTAAATAATATTACAAAAATTATTAATTTTTAATATAGATTTTTTATTTCTATTATACCACGGTACGAATTGACCATTCTTCTTCGATTCTTGATACTATTTGAGCCTTTTTAACTGACGAGGCATTTTTATTTTCTACTGTCAGTTATAGTGACTTAAGTCAGTGGAAAGCCGGTTTTACGCAATAATGTTGACAGTTTTCTCTCATTCTAATTCTTGTACGCTTTTTTAATGAATACAACTGTAAGTATGGGTCCTAAAAATGATACACATGTATTTTACCCCAACAAACAAGTGTTTTAAAGTCAATTTTATTGACCTTACCTTACTGTCACTGAAAAACTGTTAATCCATTTTCAAGGAATACATTTCGATTTATAAACTTTATAATTTGTGTTTATAACACATAAAAATTTGAAGATAATAAGTATTTGTTGTAGAAAAAGCATAGTATGCACCTCGTTTATAAACTTTTCTAGACACTCATTAATTTAATTAATTATAAATTAAATTCGTGTCTAAAATGGCGTTTATGAAACTTGATACATAATATTCTATTAAGGCATTACAAAAGAAAAATTATTGTTAAAAGAATCCTTTTGTTACTTAAATTTAACAAGGGAATATACATTATAAAACGGTAGAAATATTAACTTAAATTAATTTGACATATTATGTCATTGATATCAATATGCAGTAATAACCAGGGATACCAGATTCTGTCAAAAATTTGAACATTTTGTGTGAATTAACCTTAATTACAAAAATGACACAATCAATAATAAATCAAACTTACAATTTAAATTGCAATTGCATTATATCATTATGACAATTTTGTAATTAAGATAAAATCATACAAAATGTCCCGACTTTTTTTGGTAATTTAAAAAAATCGTCCTTTTTAAAATATCTTAAATATCGTTTGCTTGATTTTATTGAAATTTGGCAACCCTATTTATACTGACCTTAGACCTAAGATACTGACTAATAAGGTAATTTTGTTTTAACTAGAATAAAATTATCAAGTCCAGTGGCGTCCTGGGAGGCACCTTAACGAATATTAATGACAAAAAAATGTACGCCACTGTGTTTTTTGCAATTTTCATATTTTTTTATGATAAAGCCACTAAAAATACAATTTTTTTGTCTTCTGAGTTGTTTTCGTATCTTACCTCGTTTTTGACAGAAGAAATAAAAACCAAATTATTGCATAAAAATTGAAAAAAGTATATTTTGCATCTTTTTTTAGTTAAACAAAAACTACCTCTTATTATTCTTTGATAAATCAAGCCGTTTTGGAGAAAACTGACAAAACTTAAAAATTTGCCAAATTTCAACAAAATCGGGCAAACGAAATTTAAGATATTTTAAGGGCCGTATTTTTTAAAACTAAGCATTTCCAGACCCACGTTTATTTTTGGATGACGCATGTTTTCTGAAACACCCTGTATAGTAAAATTATACACTATATAGTGTATAACTTTATATACTTATAAGTACACTGTTTTTTTTTGTTTTTACAATTTTGTGTTACTTCAGAAAACGACCTAACGAATTAATTTTCATGTATCCGTTTGTCCGTTAGTCCGTTCATCCGGGAGCGCTCTTATTGGTAATGGTATAATTCAAAAATTATGACATTTTTTCCGTCCGTCAAGTTTTAACTTCGTACTTCTGACGGAGAAATTTAAAATAATTTTAACTTATCTGTCACTACACATCTGTTTTTGACGCCTAACGTTATTTTAAGATACTTTATTTTTAATATTCTTTTAATAAGATTGTAAAACGGAAATATAACGTTCGTTATGTGAATAATGTTCTACTTTTATGGTGTTATTTAATAATAATAACAGAAAAAAAGAAAAGACAAACAATAAAATATTAAAACCCGAACTAAAAGGACCTGCTTTTTTAAAACTATACATTTTAATTTAAATTAAGGCTAGTATATTCTTTTTATATGGTATATTTACATATCTTTAAATTTATTAGACAGCTAACTGTTAAAGTTACAATTGTTGACATAATTGTAACTATGACAATTAACCATTAGGTAAATTTAGTAAAGTGAATATACTGACCCTTAATTTGTATTTGTCGCCAAATCAATCCGTTAAACGTCATATAAAAACGGATGCATGAAAATTAGAACATTTCTTATCGGACGATTTTATTGAAAAACGTACAAACGTATAACGGACAAACGGATACATGAAAATTAAGCTTTATTACACCACTGAATTCCAAACTATAAAAAAATTATTAACCCAAACTTAAATATGAAATATCTTAAAAAAGGAACTGAACCACTGAATTCTAAGTCCCAAAAAGTTGTACAGGCGTTTTTTTGTCATTTTGATGTTACTACTGAGTTATTGAATTGTGTAAACAATGTTTGGACAATAACGTTCAATATATTTGCTCAATATTTGGCCAATTCTAGCCCAATTGTTTTGCTGAGAAAAAAATGTTTTTTTCAATATCTCACAAAGACCTGATTAATAAAAGTAATGGTAATTTTAAGCGCTCCTAATATAGCTAGATTGTTGTCTGTATTATTAAAGTTTAAAAACATCAACATTGTTTAATTTAAAAAAATGTACTTACATCCTTTTCGGCTTCTTTCAACTCGGATTCCTTTTCCTTAACTCTGACAACGAACATTTGCCTCATCTCGTCCTCCTTCTGCTGCAACTCTTGCAAGTGATTCGTCCTCTTCGTCTCGAAAGTCTGCTGGAAGCTGACGGGCTTGTTGTCGGCATCGACGTCGCTGAAGCCCATCTGCTCGAGACGCTTCTTCCTGTAGAGCTCGTAGTGCTTGCAGTGCGTCTTCTCGCGCATGTCCTCCATGTTCGTCCTGATGAGCATCTCGCGCAGCTTGACGAAGTCGCAGTGCGACTCGTTCTCCACCTGCACGGTGCCCCACGGGTACTGCCGCGCGCGCATCATCTTGTTGCCCACGCGCACGAAGTCCGTGCTGCCGATCACGGCGAACGGGATGTGCGAGTTCATGGAGGTGTTCACTTCCGAAACGCTCTCGTCGTCCACCGGAAACTCGTAGATGTTCACGCCGTTGTTCTGCAGCTCCGCGATTATTTTCGACTTGAACTTCTGCAGTTCGGTCTTGGAAATGGTGTCGGCTTTCGCGATTATCGGAATGATGTTGACTTTCTGGTCGAGTTTCTTCATGCAGACCAGATCGATGGACTTCAGGCCGTGTCCGGTCGGACAGATGAAGTAGAGGCACACGTGCGTTCTGCTGTCGTGGTACGCCGAAAGGGAACGTTTGATTTTCAGCTCTTCCTGAAGGTAGTTTTCGAATTGGTTGTCGATGTAATCGACGACGGCTTTGAAGCTGTCTTCTTTGTTGATTTGATCGCCGTAGCCGACTGTGTCGACTATTGTAAGCTTAAACCAAAAATTACATTTTTTCACGTGTACGAGTATAACAATGTTTATAATAATATAATAACACTCATAAGCCTATATTTGTACGCAGTTTAAAAGTAAAATTATTATACACCGCCGTACAATAATGAAAATACATAGCATTTAGCTTGAAATCAGTGTAAGTAATTGTAATTACAGGTCACTGTAGAATAAATTCAGGCACATAACCACATTCTTATACAGAGATTTTCAGAGGCTTTTTTATGAGGCGCCGTTTGTGTCAAAATTAAAAGTGCTAAATAATAATAATTTTGTTTTATAAATAATTAATTATATGCTTTACCAAATAATTTTTTTATACAATTTTTTTCTTTGTAAAAAAATTTATAAAATTATTTTTTATAAAATAATTTATTATAAATTTTTTTTTTGTAAAAAATTTTATAAAATAATTTTTTTATAAAATTTTTTTTATAAAATAAATTTTTTTAAAAATAATTTTTTTATAAAATAATGCTTTTTTATAAAATTATTTTTTTATAAAATAATTTTCAATTCGAATAAAAAATTATTTAATAAAAGACGACGGGCGCATTTATAAATTAATTTTTACTACTACTTTGTAGACACTCGAGTAAACCCGAACGCCCCTCCCCAGATACAATTTTATGACGTACTGGGCTTTTGTTTGACGTAATTTGGGGAAACGATTGAAAATAATAATTTATTATTTTTATTCATGAATTCATTCATTTTTTTATCTACATTTATTTTGATTTTTAGTTTTTAACAAGAATTCTTTATGTTTAAACGTTTTTTATAAGAAAGCACTTGTTAAAAACTAAAATAAATAAATAAAATAATTCTCTTGAAAACAAATTAAAATAAATAAATCAATTAAGGTTAAAAACAATTTAGTACCTGATTACTTGTCCGATAATATTAAATATGTGCGTAATGTCCACAATTATAATACTCGTAATATAAACCATTTCCAACTTGATAGATGTAAAACAGTACAAATGTCAAACTTTACTATGTACAAGGGTATGCTTGAATTTAATAAGCTACCCCCGGATATACAACAATGTAGTGATATCACAACTTTTAAAAATTGTATTAGATCTCATATATTATCACTATAGTGATAATATATTTTAAATTGTCATAATGTATACGTATTGTCTTAAGTTTATATGATTTTATTTATTTTCTGTGTTATTTTATGTTTTTTATATATTTATAATATTATATGTTTTCTGTATAGCATTCTGGCTAATAAAGATATTATTATTATTATTATTAAAAAAAAAAAATTCTCTTAAAACAAAACTAAAAATCAAAAAAAATAATTTTATAAAAAAATAATTTTATAAAAAAATTATTTTATACCTAAAATTTTTTAGAAAAAAAAAATTAAAAAAAAAATTATTTTATAAAAAAATTATTTGGTAAAGCATATAATTAATTATTTATAAAACAAAATAAGTTTATTTAGCACTTTTAATTTTGACACAAACGGCGCCTTATAAAAAAGCCTTGATAATATTAATAATAATATGAAAATTAAACTTTGGCGTTGAATAACTTTTAAACCAATAGACTAATGGAAAAATTATAGGAGACCTTTTTTGTAGAGCGTTAAATTCTCTATAAAAATATGTATGATTTATAATTTTTAATTTATTCGTTCCCAAGTTATAAAATTATAAACAACAAAAGTAATTTTTCCTGTTATTTCCATAGGAAACTTAGATTGGAATGCGCACTATCTTAGAGTTAATATTAAGAGCTCAAATTTTCAGGGAATTTTTTTTATCAATTTGGAAGTATTTGGGCCCCTGGGAGCAAAGAAATTTGAAAATAACCTTATTAAGGACCACCCTAGTGTACGAGTATAACAATGTTTATAATAATATAATAACACTCATAAGCCTATATTTGTACGCAGTTTAAAAGTAAAATTATTATACACCGCCGTACAATAATGAAAATACATAGCATTTAGCTTGAAATCAGTGTAAGTAATTGTAATTACAGGTCACTGTAGAATAAATTCAGGCACATAACCACATTCTTATACAGAGATTTTCACATTTGTAGTCCATTGCAAGTTTCTGGGGAAGAAAAAAGATATCGACTTGATATTTTAAAAGGGTTTATAATTTATTTAAGTCTATTTTTCAAAAATATTTTAAACAAAATGCCACTTTCGGTTTAACAGAAAACCCCATATATTTTAACATTTTTATATTCTGTATAAAATTCAAAGTAAAATTACCATTCCATGTCCTATACCTAAAGTGAATAGTTTTCGAGTTAATCTTTTTTTTCCTTAAAATTTGACAAATGCGCGTCAATCATAACCCAGATAGCACACAACGTCTTGAAGATGTCTTTTGTATGTCTGTATTATGCCTGAACGTCTGAAGATCTAAAAAAGACGTCTAAAAGATGTCTTTTGATAGACGTCTTAAGGATATCTTCATTTAATGTCCTAAAGACATCTTATAAACGCCTGATAACGCCGCTTATTTTTTTTTTCATTATTTTGGTAAAATATTAACCACTTAAGACAGCAAACAAAGTCTTGAAGATCTAAAGATCTAAAAAAGACGTCTGAAAGACGTCTTTTGATAGACGTCTTAAAGATATCTTTATTTAATGTTCTCAAGACATCTTATAAATGCCTGATACCGCGGTTTTTTTTTTTTTTGATAAAATAGTAAATGTTGAAAAATCAAAATCGAAATTATATCCCATAATCAGCGACTTCATTGTAATAGAAATAACTATAATGTAGGATTTTGAGTTTTGACAACGATGATGGGTAGGGTAACTGAATAAATAGGTACCTATATAATATATACCTATTTATTCATATACTATATATCTGACATTTTTGTAGATTGGTTATTTTTCCTACAATTAATAATATCTATTTATAATAAACCATTATAAACTAACATGTTTTTTAAAAATTAAGTATTAAGACAAAATAACCTTAAAATAACCCAGCGAACGTTTTTAAATCAAATTACCCGCACATTTCCCATAATGCAATGAAATCATAAGTCACGCCATGAGATCCTTATGCTTTCCTTTTCTATTTCACCAAGCGCTGATATGTCTGCTTCTTTTCAATTCTCGTACCCACAATCCAATGTGGATTGTGCTCGTAGTACGAGCCTTGTACCTAACCACAGAACATAACTATAAATGCAGATTGCAGGCATCAGACGCCATTTTTGCCGCTTACGTCAAATTTGGTTAAATAGCTAATCGTGGCGGTTTTTCGTTCTCGTTCAACGTTTAAACTTAAGTGACAAGTAAAAGCAGTGTGCAGTGTTGTAACAACACTGTTTTTGGATTGTTTTTGTGAATTTGCTGTGGTTTAATATATCTACTCAAGAGGGAAAATTATTCAGGTAATTTTAAAATTTTTTCTTGTGTGCTTAAGATGAAGCGTTCATCTCTCAATAAATAGGTATTATATGCGTGCAAAGAGGGCAGCCAATTTAAAAAGACCCTCACTAGCACTCGCCGTCTGATGTTGAGCAGCGAGTTGAGCAGGATTCTTCCAACATTTCTATTCCAAATATCGAAGGAACCTCGAAAGAACCTCTAGACATAAGCTTGGAAGAAGTACCCGAGGAAGTACCTCAAATGAGAGTAAGAACACAACAAAGTGAAATCAGATTTGAGAATTACTTGGCAAAGTGGGCAGTAAAGCATAGAATAACTCATTCTGCGATAAATGATTTATTAAAAATTTTACCTTTAAATTTTGCTGAGCAAGTGTTGCTTACTGATGCTAGAACTTTACTTCACACTTGTCGCTATGTTGAAGTTATACCAGTTACACCGGGGCAATATTTTCATTTTGGATTAAGTACCTATAGGTACAATTATAATTGTATCCTTGGTATTTTAAGGAGTTTTGACACAAAGACAATTCAAAAATTGAACCATTTCATAGCTCTCAATATAAATATTGATGGCTTACCCCTATCTAAGAGTTCAAGCAGTCAGGTGTATTCCATATTGGCAAATATTTATAATCATAAAAAAATTGTTGAGCTTGAGCTTGGCTTCAGACAGAAGACTTCTTCTTGCCAAGAAGTTTTGACTTGATTTAGGCAGAAATAAATATGTAATAATTTAATTTTTGTTTTATTTTAAATAGAAGTACCTATAAGTACGTTATTTTTAGAAGTTAAAAAGCATTATTAGCTACATTTTAATTACTTAATAGTGTTAAGTTAATACATTAGAAACGTTTTGGCGATGTAGCAATGCATAACCAAAACGTTTTCAATAGGTAGTCTTTAACATCTTAAAGACGTCTTAACGACGTTTAGCCACGACTTAATAATGCCGTTAAAAAGACATCTTAAAGACGGTGTGTTTTGTAACATTAGATATCTTAAAGACGTCTTAAAGATGACTTACGTCGTAAACTGGACGTCTTAAAGATGTCATGAACGTCCGAGTCCGACATCTTTAAGATATCTTTAAGATGTCTCTGTGCTATCTGGGAAATAGTAAAAAATAACTTTTTTGTTATTAGGTTTGCGGATATGGCGGTGTAATTTTTGGAATCTTAAAACATTGTTTAAAAGATTCCATGTTAATTCTTTAACATTTTTTAACAAATTACCTGAGAAAATCCAGGGTAAATTAGGCTTGAATGAGCTAGTTCATTCAAAATTAGCAAATACTGTTTGTTTTACTTTTAAATTTTAAAAATGTTTGACTTGTCTAATTTTTTATAAGTCACTGACTGCTATTTGTTATCAACAATTTTGTTTAGAAAAAACTTAGTCAACAAATTGTTTATAGCAACCTGAAAGATTGAAGCCATTCAATTTTTAACAATGACAGACTAAGTGGTAACCAGTCCAAGGTTTCTTGATACAAAATAATATCTAAAATTTTAGAAATTGTTAAATATCTTTTAAATTATTAAATGACACCCTGTTATTATAGTACAGGGAATAGTTACATCAATCAAGAGGTTTTTAAATTTACTATTTGATTATGTAAAAACATACTGGGTTTTTCTCAGGTAATTTGTTAAAAAATGTTAATTAATTGTCTTGGAACCTTTTAAACAACTTTTTAAGATTCCAAAAATTACACCCGCATATTGGCTGACCTAATGACAAAAAAAGTATAGGCTATTTTTGATTGAGGAAAATTTCTTTTTAACGAAAAAACTCGAAAATTATTCACTTTAGGTATAGGACATGGATAGTACTGTTACTCAGAATTTAAAAATGTAAAAATATATGGGGTGTTCCGTTTGAAATAAGTTATTATAACAGTTGATGTAACTTCCGGTTAAACCCTAAGTGGAATTTTGTTCAAAATATTTTAGAAAAAAAAACTTAAACGGATTTTAAACGCTTTTAAAATTTCAAATCGATACCTTTTTTGTCCCCCAGAAACTTCTAATGGACCACAAATGTGAAACCCTGTATACAGGATGTCTCATAACTAATGGACAATACAGCAAAATGTTCATAATAAACAAGGTACATGGCAATAAATGTGAGATGTTATTTTTGAAAATTTGTAAAATAATTCAATACATCAAAATTTGTGCAGTACAATTTTGTGATAATTTTTTATGGTACTTTTAGAGGGAGCTAACGACACAGGTCGAATTGGGTGAATAAATATTTACGTTTTTTACTCAATTCGACCTTTCTTTAGCGCCCTAGGAGGACCATAAAAAATAATCACAAATTTTTATTTCCTGCCCTTAAAAACTATATTGTACAAATTCTTAGCTTGATACATTGAATTTTTTTCCAAATATAAGAAATTTTCAAAAAAATCAAACATTTATCGCAACTACAGCTACTGTAGAAGTAGAAGAGTAACATTTTGTTATACACTCATTGTTTTTTTGATTTAAAACTCTAAATACAAATTTCAATTCATTACAGCTCACAGAATTTATTTTAGGAGTCGTACAGGCGCCAGGAGCAAAAATGACCGTAAATATAAATTTTGACACAGGCGGTTCATTGGAGTGTCATTTTAACAATTTTTATTTGACTGAGTTGAAATTTTAACACAATAAAGTGGATAGATACAAAAATATCTCTGAATAGATAATTTAAAAAAAAATTACAGCACTTTGAATTTTGAAAATTGTCAAATTTTGGCTAAAAAACATTTTGATTAATTTTTTTTGTCGGCCGTAACACATTGCAAAAATATTATCAGTTCACGTTTTAGTAAAAGTCATCAACCAACGTTATCTGGTTAAAAAGGGTAATTTACTGTTATGATTCATGTTTAAAAATGTATTTTATAAAATGGTATAAGGAATGTTTGTTAAATCTAGATTTTTAAGGATTTTCATTATGGCGCCAGCAACCAAATAGAGCAAAAACTTAAAATTTAAATTAATACTTGAATTTTTATGGTAGAAACGTTACGATTTATTTTTATTAAGTTATAAAAAAAACATCTACATATAAACATATATAAATATGAAGTAGGCCTCAATAGGCCTCAAATAATCTTATTTTGCCATTTCTTGAAATTGAAGTTTTACTTCGTAGGTACAAATAGAAAAAATCAGATATTTAGATATAGCAGGGATGTTAAACTTGGCCTAGAAATTCTCCGAGTTCTGGGCGTGTTTAAAGCGCATTCGATTTTTGACTCACCAATCATAATTCGTTTAATTTGATTTTTGTGGTGAAAGGAATACTAAGAATATAAAAAAGATTGTATACAGAAAGCTTTTTAAACAGAGTATTTAACTCTGTCCCAAGTTTCCTCGAGTTATATTATATTATAGTTATTTATTTTTAATATAATTAAAATAATAATTGTTTAATTTTTTGTCATAAAAAGTAAAAGTTAATTTTTTTGTGATAATGCTTATTTCATGAATTAAATTAAATATTATTTGCATATTATGGTCTCAACTGCGAAAACAACAATAATAAATATTTACATAAAGGGTGACCTAAAAACTACATATTGAAAAAGAAACTGTAATTTTGTCATCCTTATTAATGGGGGGTACAGTGTAGCATACTATTAGTGCACCATTTTCTGACACTTGGTAATTATTAATTTATTTATAACCTAATATACTTTAAAATCAAAACACAAATAAAACATTTATTTGTTTAATATGCAGTTCACAATAAATAAATTGAACATGTACTGCCCCTAATTGATTTAACTGTACATATTATAATATTAGCACACTTTCTTAAGAATTTATGAATTCATTAAAATGAATGAACTTTAAGTAGGTATTTCTTATATTATTTAAATAATAATTGTTTACATTAAAAATAAATATAGGTACCATTTATTAATAAACAAAAACATGCAAATTAGTTCAAATAATATTATTCTAAAAATTAGTTACTTTAAAACATACCTTGAGTCTCACATTACTCTCTTGTAGCTCAAATGTTTGGGCCTTTAATTTTACAGTGGGTAAAGTATGTGGACTTGGAGAAGATTCAAAGTTGGTGTTAAACAAAGAATCCATCAGTGTCGATTTCCCCAATCCAGTTTCACCTGATTAATTCTTGCATTAGAGAAACTTATTTTGCATAAACAACAAAAACTTACCAATGCACATAATGTTGAAAATAAAGCCATTTTGAACACTTTTTGACACCAATTGATCTGGTAAACTATCAAATCCCACATGTCCAGATAATTGCAAGTTCCTCATCTTTTCCTCGACCTGCAAATTGCAAAAACGTTGCGGTTTAAATGTTTAAAATAACAGACAACGCCCAAACACAAGTCGTTTATAAATAAAACGATAAGGGTTGCACACCTGCTTTTATAACACAAACGTGATTAAATAAATCTACACTACTTACAGGTGGGTTTTCCACGTCGACTGGTGCCATTGTAGGTAAAATTCTTGTTTATTATTTTTAATCAGGCCGAGCACGTAAATATCAAAATTCGAGACAAGCGCTGTTATCTGTCATATTAGTCAGTTTTTATTGGTAAGGAAGGGCACGCATAATTATCCAGCGACATCTAACAATAATTTAAGTAAGTAGAAACAGATACCTATTTTCTTATAGATAGCGGCGCTGGTGTTTGACAATTGACATTCTGTTATGTGATTGACATATTCTGTCATTTACAAGATTTTTAGCAAATATTTGTTATATGTAGCAAATAAATCAATTAATAAAACATTAGCCGCATTCCTAAACTCTAAGAAAAAAATGGAGAAGCTGTCGTCTGTAACAATAAAACCCCTGGAGAAGTCAATTTACCTAAAACCTTACACAATGCATTTCACACAAAACGGTACGAAAAGAACCTGGGATTTGTTAAGGGTTCATGATAGTGTGGCCATTTTAATATTCAACGTAACTAGAAATAAGTTAGTTTTTGTGAAACAATTTCGACCGGCTGTGTATTTTGGAAGCATTCCAGAACAAGAATCACAAGGAGACATAGACGTACAAAAATATCCTGCTGAAATTGGTGCAACTATTGAATTATGTGCAGGAATTGTGGATAAAGCTTTACCTTTGGAAGACATCGCATGTGAAGAAGTGTTTGAAGAATGTGGATACCATGTGAAGCCTTCCATGTTAGAAAAAATCAGTTCATACAGGTCTGGAGTTGGCTCGCAAGGATCTTTGCAAACTGCTTATTATTGTGAGGTTACAGATGATATGAGGGTATCATCGGGAGGTGGAGTAGATGATGAAATTATAGAAGTCATTGAAATGTCAGTGGATGAAATGAAAGAGTACATTTCTGGTCATAACATTAAAAGCCCACCAAGTTTTATGTTTGGCATGTACTGGTTTTTACATAATAAATGTAAAAAATAGGTTTTATTTTATTAATTTTTAATATGTGATACTTTTTAGGTATTTAAGTTAAATAACCAAAAATTGTTTCATTCCTTTGACTTATGCTGGGTTTTATTAATAATTTGTCATATGCTAACTAAAGAATTCTAAGCCCAAAATATGAAGATTTTATCTAAAACAATGAGGTACAGAGGGTTTTAAAAAGAGATATTTTAAAATTACGTAATATTTCTTTACCATAGTTTTTGTGCTTAAATTATTAGTCTTGAAACACTATCTACCAAATATGGTAAAGAAATATGTAATTTTAAAATTATTTTTTTGTAACTACTTGTATTTCAGTAAGGAGGCATCTTTAGTGTTTTGGGTTAAATTTTTATATTTTTTATAGTTAAAATTTTACCAAATATTAATGAAGTTTAATCTTAATTTAAATAAATATTATTAAATTAAATGGTACTGTTTTATTTAAAAGGTGTTTAATTAATTAAAACAAAATTTAATTAATATTGGATTTATTATAATATGCATATAAAATCATTTGGAAAATAAAAAATAATTTAATTTAAACTTGTATTATGTATTTTATAAAAGAGTTATTCTATTTTAACAATATTAAAATATCTAAATAGGTATTTGTCAACATGTTTTAAAATTGTATATAATATAATAAATATAGGTATATTACATACATATTATGCATGTAATATACCTATATTTAGATTTATTTTGCCTAAATTATTCATTATTCATATTTTTATGTAAAAATAATTGTATCACATTCTGTTACAATAAAAAACGTGTAAATAGTGAGATTTGTGTTTTATTTGGATTTTGACACAAACAAAATTGAATTTAAATTAATTGATATATCATTATAATTATAATTTGCACAGAAAAAGGGACGTGATTAAATTTAAATTAAAAAAAAAGAAAATACATGAATATTTTTCAAGAATACCAAAACTAAAAGTTTGTATATCATACATGATAATTAACATATTAATGTTCAAAATTGTAAGGCTTGTCTTGGTTATATTTGTATAGTTTTATCTATTTTTGTTCATATAGTTTTGTCAGCCTTAAATTGATGCTGTCAAAGTCCATGTAAAAAACTGTACCTACATATTTAATAGCTTTTCTTGGATTTTAGCACCATGATTGAACAATTTTTTAATTATGTTTTTAAAAATAATTATATAAATCCAGTGTAAATATACCTAGTGCTTGACTAAATGCAAGGTGCATTTTAAAGGATTAAACAAATAATCCTTAAAAAACACATTTTGTTCTACCTACATACATACATTTAAATTAACATATCTTTAATTTAAATTACTATTATATAATCTTATGTACACCTAGTATAAGTAAATTAGCCATTGTTTACATAAGGCAAGAGTAAGGCCTCCATTTAAAGCACATATAAAAAATAAATACCTAAGGAATTATTTACAGTTTGGTTTTTTGATCTTGGCGAGTTTAATATACCGTATTTCCACGCTAAAAGTATAAAGTGCCAAGTGCCTCTGTGACCTTGAAAGGGGGGATATTTTCGAGCGGTACACCGAATTAATTAAAAAATGAAAATACGGTGGGTATATTATAAACTAATCATCGTCGGCTTCGTAATATATTGTGTTGCGATTTTTGGGGTCAAATGCTTCTGAGGTTGCATCTCCATTTGCATCAAAATATATTGTGTTGCTGGATATCATTGAATCTCTATTACCTAAAAATGTTCAATGTTTTTCTTTAAATTCAAAACAAATCATATGATCATGCGCTATTTTATTTATTATCCATTTTAATAATAATTTATACATTTTTATATTTTCTATATTGTGATAAGGCTATCAAACACACTATATTTTATACTAAATTTTATGGCGAAAAACAAAAATATATTTTAAACATTTTATTTTAAAGTGATGTTTAAACACTTTACAAGAAGGCTGGCGCTAAAATGTCTTAATAAAAGTTTTATTATAAAAGATATTTAATTTAAAAAATAATAAGTTAAATTAGTATCTATTTAAAGAGTTTTCATCACAAATAATTTCAGATTTTTTTTCAGCACAGATTTTAAACTTACATTTGTTTTTACACGCCTTTTTTATTTTGTAAAAAATAAACTAACTATACTAATCAATTTTTAGGCTATCAACATGATTATATTTTGTTTGGAAACTAATTTTTAAAATAATCTATGGAAAATCTGCTCATGTGTTGTTTTCCATAAATTCTTTTAAAAATTCAAGCAACCAAATCAGGATCATTTTGATGGCTTGGAAATTGATTATTACAGTATATTTTTTATGTATGTATATCTTAGAAAACAATTTTTTAGAACTTTTAAAAATTGTCATTTAATAAATGCAAAAATATGACAGTTTTAAACCTTAGTTTTGCCATTATAGCAACAAATTAACAATTTATATTTATATTGTTACTTATAGTTTTAATGATACCTACTATTTGTAAGAAAGTGTTAATTTGTTAATTAAAAATACAACGTTTTATTTTTACTACATTGGCGTCGCTGAATTAACTGATATTTAATTAATGATAAAACATCTTTTAAATTCTCGTCATGACGATATCGTCGACGAAAAAAGTGACGTGATCATAAAGTGACGAATTTTTTTTGTTATTTGTATTATACATATGTATAATATATATGTATATGTGATTTATGTTTTGATAGTTTCTACTTAAGAAAATCATGTACTTAGGTGTGAATGTTGTTATTAAAATTGTGATATTCAATGCAAATTTCTTAATATTGCATAGTTTAATAAATGTAGCAACAAATACTAAAACATAAATTCTATAACAACTATGACGATATATCGTTTGGGTCGTCGTCACACTCGCGTCAATTAATTTAACTCAAAATTTCTATTGCAGCAAGTTTATTATAGGAACATAAAAACTCAAATATTTCATTAAATCTATTGAGAAAAAATGCTTGGAAGCTTCTTAACGACTCGAGTTGTTATGACGATAGACACTAGAAAAATGTCAGTATCGTCATCTTAATCGTCCGACGTGTCGTCAATTTATTTTAATTATTGAACTCGAAATTTATATTGCAGCGACTTTATTAACATAATTATATATCAAAATGCAATTATATTATTTAATTCTGAAAAACAAAGCGCAAAAACATTATTTTTTCGTTATTCGTATCGTCATTGTTGATAACATTTAATTTTTATTAAATTATTCGCAGGAAACTTTTTAATTTTTTGCTTGATTGGATTAATAAAAGAAAGTAAGTTTTCAATGGCAAAAAAAAACTGTAAAAAACAGGTAACATGAATAATGCCATTTATAAATGGCATAGAACCATCTTCAATTTTCAATTAAAAAAATCGATTTTGTTTCATATAAAGTGTTTCATTTCCAATTTAAACAGATGGTGCACCCTGCACATGTTAAATTAAAACCCATTTAAAATTTCGAATAATTCGAAATTTTTCGAATTATTCGATTCGAGTTCCGAATCGAATATTAATATTCGATTCAAACCCCTAATAATTACCTATATAATATTATTAGGTGTAATAATTATGACAGTAAAATAGGGTATTTTGCAAGTTTCAATCAAAATACTAACTAAAGAAATTTTCAGTAAATAATATATATTGTATATTTACCTCGATATTTACTAAATATGCATAATTATTTCATTTTATCCTCTTACATTTTTATTTTTATATAACAATTTTAAATTAATTTATTTTTTAAAAAGGGCGAATGCGCTAGTTAATTACAAATATAACTAATTTTTTTCGCTCGCGGGTAAGATCGGATATTTTGTAATTTTCGGTCGGGAACTTTCATGACATTCACCCGGTTGGGTTGGGTTAATGCAACAAAAGCCTTTCATGAAAGCAGGTTCGATCATATAAATTTGTAATCATATAAATTTGTATAAGTTCGAGTGTCGAACACAACATGACTTTGCGTTGCGAAAAATTATAATAATTATAATTATTATTATATTTATGTAATCAACAAGTATGTACACAAACCAAAGGTTTCAACTGTTTTATCATGAGGAATTGAAATAAACATTGCTATAAACCTTATAACACAATTTTGAGTTATCCGACTTAATAATTATTAAGTCTTATTCAGAGTTTTTTAAAAGACTTTCAAAACTCTTATTTTTACTTATTAAAACTTTTCTGCAAGGGTAAGATTCTCTGCATAAAAATAAGAACAAAACTATTATCTGGTTTCCGGAAACGCTTCGTTTAATAGATTTTTTTTTAATTTTATGCAAGGAAGCTGATCCTAATTCCTATAAATAATAGTGAATTAATAATCAATTTAAGTACTTACTTTGCTTTAACTTCTGTTTAGCCCTCACAGTTTCATGTTTAATAATAGTCTCATTCGTCCTGTAGACTTCCCTTTTGATCTTATCATTCAATTTTCTACTGACATCCGGTATTGTCCACTCCACTACAGTAATAACAAAACTAACAAGATTTTGGTACACGACTATAAAAGCCAATCTTGCAGCCAGTATATGCCAATAGATTAACGGTCTTTTGTATTTTAAAGGATCGTCGGGTGGATTTCTGTATTCAGCGTATCGGCATACTGTTACATTGGGGAATATCGTTTTCAAAGGTGCGTTGCCGCTCACAAAATCTGACGTGTTGAAATAAGCCAGACTGTGCTCCAGAAAACCCTCCTCTGTATGATTGCTGCTGACTTTCATGCTATACACCAGTTGTGGGATGAAGTTGGATGAAAATGCAATGATAAAAGCGTTCGAGACTACCGACAGTCTTCCTATGAACGACATTATGGGAAACCAGACGCCGATATTCGAGACACGTTGTGGAACAGGTCTCCTGAAGTACCTGATGAATTTGGTAGCATCCAAACGCATTTCCAGAACGTTGTTTATCAAGGCAAAGAGTGGCGCCAGTGGGAATGCCGTCACGAATATTGTCACAAAGCCATATTGCAAAACTGAAACAATAATCCTATTAGACTATGTTTGGGGATAGTAAAGTACCGGGAATTCATAATTTAAAAACTCCGCATTAATATATCAACACTAGTTTACAAAATCGAAAAAAAATTCTGCCCACCATATCCCATTATAATTTTTCCATGTATTTTGACCCACAAACACGAAAATCACAAAGAAAATTTTTTTATGGAAGCGTTTTTGATTTGGTCAAACAAGCCCTTAAATTGAAGGTATTTGAGCCCTCTAAAACTGCATTTTACATACTTTTGATATCGGATAAGTATTTTGACGCTAGCGATTTTAATAACTTAAAAAATTCGTTTTTATGGCAAAAAATGAGGTCGAAAATTTACATATCGTCCTGGGAAAGGTTTTAATCAAACAGATAACTCCAGTTTAGATTTTTTTTCGTGAAGCTGACATTTTTACAAAAAAACAAGCTACTGTTGATAAAAATACATGAAAAAATGGCGAAGTTATGAATTTTTTAGTGGAAGACCAAAATTCAGCTTTTTGACGATTTTTATTTTATTTCTTTTCTTTTATTTTTTAAATTTGACATGACTCTGCAAACGCGAATTCTTTTGTTTCTCGTGTTGGCATAGTGACATTTTACTGCTATTTTTTGATATTTTAACAGAGAATTTTTATCATGGTTTTATTTAGTTAATAAAAAGTGTAAAATAAGTATAAGAAGTAGAGAGTTTGAGTGCGTAAATAACCCGGACAATCTGGGCGACGTTAGTGATGAGCACGGAGAACGTTTTCACCAGCAAATGAAGCGGATTTGATCCCTTATACGAGAAACGGAATACGAAATCAACAAAAAACAAAAAAGGAGCCAGATTTTTTTTAAACCTATGCTTATTACAACAAAATAAAACTCTCAATATCTTCAATGTTCAATATTTATTGTTTAAAATAAAAATCAATGTTCAATATTAAACTTTATATAAAATGAAAAAACTGAATTTATCCATGGATTTTTATCAACATCAGCTTATTTTTTAATTTGAAAACGCATTAAAAAATAAATTTTGATTTTAAGCCTTAAAAAAACATGCCTTTAAATAAAGTCCTTACCCATTTCTAAGTATTCCGAAAACAAACTTTGCGAATCCAAAGCAGATAGTTTGTAATCCTCAGTCCATTGATTGCAAGTTATTAAAATTTCATCAGTATTTTCTTCTTTTTCCAAGCCCGTTGTTATTTTAAACGTCGTGTACATTTTAAATAATAAAGGCCACAGAATTTCCATAATCGCATTCAAGGCTTGTTTGCCAATCATTATAATCGCTAGTTGAATTGTTAGTTCCATCAAACAACCGCCAGGATTGCACTGAAAGAGACAATTAATGTCTATTAATGCAATAAGTTTCAAAAAGACATCGATTTTGCAATTTATTACATCATTCGGGAAAGGAGGGGGGCGAGATTTTCTTTTTGGCTTATGGGGTCTAAAATTATTAAAAGTTTGCTTACATACTTAATACTTGAACTCACCCAATCTAAAATAATTTTGAAACAATTTTTTTGTATTTTTTAATTAAACTAAGAAAGTTTTAAGTAACTTTTTAGTAACTGAGATACTTTTAAGTATGATTATTTCCCTCATTATAATATGAACCAATCAAAAGCCTTGAATTTTCGAATAAATTTTGTTTAAATAAGCGATTAAATCACTAGAACTATTTAACAGCGATTAAATTTTAGCCTCCATATTGGATTTTTGTTTACGATTTTATGGTGTTATTTACAAGTTTTAACAAACATTTTTTAAAAAACAATAAAAAATAAGTTATCTAGTTTACGAAATATCAATTATTACTTCTTACATACCTTAAATTAATGGAATTTTCTTTAAAAAAATATTTATAAATTTTGACACATACGTCAGATTTTATGAATTGTCAAATAGTTTCCTTTAATTCGAGAAATAATCTAGACGTATATCTCTCAACCTATAAATTTAATCTGTCAAACTATGCTCAGTAAGTTTTTTATTTGATTTTTCTTTTTGGAAAATAGTTTCATGCAAAATAATTAAAAATAAAACCCCTCGACCTCTACGCGGTCTCGTGATTTTATTAAATTATTTTGCATTCAACATTTTCCAACAAAAAACAAACAAAAACTACTGAGCCTAGTTTAACCGATTAAATTCATAGTTCTCGTGATATAATATATGATTATTTCCCTCATTATAATATGAACCAATCAAAACCCTTGAATTTTCGAATAAATTTTGTTTAAATAAGCGATTAAATCACTAGAACTATTTAACAGCGATTAAATTTTAGCCTCCATATTGGATTTTTGTTTACGATTTTATGGTGTTATTTACAAGTTTTAACAAACATTTTTTAAAAAACAATAAAAAATAAGTTATCTAGTTTACGAAATATCAATTATTACTTATTACATACCTTAAATTAATGGAATTTTCTTTAAAAAAATATTTATAAATTTTGACACATACGTCAGATTTTATGAATTGTCAAATAGTTTCCTTTAATTCGAGAAATAATCTAGACGTATATCTCTCAACCTATAAATTTAATCTGTCAAACTATGCTCAGTAAGTTTTTTATTTGATTTTTCTTTTTGGAAAATAGTTTCATGCAAAATAATTAAAAATAAAACCCCTCGACCGCTAGGCGGTCTCGTGATTATATTAAATTATTTTGCATTCAACATTTTCCAAGAAAAACCAAACAAAAAAAATCTGAGCCTAGTTTAACCGATTAAATTCATAGTTCTCGTGATATAATATATGAATAAAATTATGAAAATTCAACCAGTTGTAAGTTATGTTATGACTTTGAATCATTCTGGAATTCGCCAAATTTTCTCTAAGAAAGTAACTTAGTTACACTAAAAAGTATCTAAGTTACTTTAAAAAGTATCTTAGTTACTTTAAAGTATATAAGTTACTTGAATATATCTTAGTTACTTTACCAAGTAACTTAAATACTTTTTTAGATACAAGTTACAAGATACTTTTCCAATGTAACTAAGTTACCCAGATAGCATCTGTGATTTTGTTTTCCCTCTGTGATTTCACACTGAAGTCAGTATAAGGTCAGATGTGATTTTCAGTCATTCAAAATCATGTATGATTTAATATTGAAGTCGGTATGAGATCACGCATGATTTTCAATATAAATTCTAAGTTCCAAATCATGCCTGATTTCATACTGGGGTGAGTATGAGATCAGGCATGATTTTCAGTTAAGGGTACCTATTCCATAAGTTCCAAGCTTATAAGCTTGTATACAAGCTAATTTTATTTAAGCTTATAAGCTATAGCTTATATATAGTTCTCGTTTAGATGTAATGTAATGTAATAGGGTATAGTTGTTTATTTGTGCTTGTCCCATTGTGTATCGTCGAGGGGACTTTAGGCCAGCGGTCCGTTAATACCCCTTACCCGCACAAGCTATAGCTTGTGCGGGTAAGGGGTAGGAACGGACTTCCGGCTTAAAGTCCCCTACGAAGGACTATACACAATGGGACAAATACAAATAAACAACCATGGTTATGGGTATGCATACCCACGTGAGTTTCGATCGGGCGCGAATTTTAGTTCAAAATCATGTTTGTTCTCATACTGGGGTCTGTATGAGATCACGTATGATTTTCAATATGATTCTAAGTTCCAAAGCACGCCTGATTTCATACTGAGGTCAGTATGAGATCACATATGATTTTCAGTATAATTCTAAGTTTCAAAGCATGCCTGATTTCATACTGGAGTCTGTATGATATCACATATGATTTTCAGTATAATTAATTCTAAGTTTCAAAGCACGCCTGATTTCATACTGGAGTCTGTATGAGATCACATATGATTTTCAGTATAATTTTAAGTTCTAACTCAACCATAGAGGAAAGGCGCCAGGTAAATTGCGCCAGATTTAAGAAATCTTTTTTTTTGTAAATACCTAAATTTTTAATCAAAAAATTTTGGTATTTTATTTTAATTTTTTTATAGCAATTTAAGATTTCCTCCTTCACTGGAATTTTTTTTCAGGAAACAAATGGTTTTATTGCAATAAAATTTAAAAATTAATGTATTTATTTTTAAATTTTATTGGGTATAATTAATTATAATTATTAACTTTTCAGCAATCAAATTTTATTGGCGTATTAATTGCCGTTGGTCTTTACTGTTCCCGTTCAAAAGTTAAACTTGTGATCGTCTACCATATCATTTATACTTTAACGTACGTCAAACTATAAATGACATGGTAGACGATGTTTAACTTCGATTATTGATTATTTAAAATAATCATTTTTTTCTATTAATCGATTATTTGATTAATCGATTTTTTGATTAATCGATTATTGATTTATCGATTATTTGATTAATCGATTATTTAATTAATCGATTATTGATTAATCGATTATTTGATTAATTGATTATTTGATTAATCGATTATTTGTTTAATTAATTTTACAAAATCACATATGATTTTATTCTGACAACAGTATGATTTCATTCTGACAACAGTATGATTTTAAAGCCAACGTCAGCGGGACCAAAAATCTCGCCTGATTTTACTTATTCTTTAAAGTTTTCTTTCTACCGGTTTCTACCGGTCTCTTTACAAAATCACATCTGATTTCATTCTGACATCAGTATGATTTCAAAGCCAACGTCAGCAGTAACAAAAATCACATCTGATTTCAGTCTGACTTCATATTGCTGACATTCGCGTATGCGCTACTGACGTCAGATTCTCGACAGACGTGACGAACGATTTTCACGTCTGATTTTATTCTGACGTCAATATGAAATCATAAATGCTAGCTGGGTAAAGATACTTTCTGTCCAATATAAAAAGTATCTAAGATAAAGTATCTTAGATACTTTGAGTATCTAAGATACTTTTAAGTATTTTTTTTTCAAGATACTCCCAGCTCTGATTACAGTTAAAATGTACTAATACAAATAATTTACCGACCTTGTAACGTTAATAACTAAAGCATGTTCTTACCTCTTCTTGTCGATAACCAAAAATTCTATTGTATTTGGCAGGATATCCAACAAATTTGCCTTTAAAAAACGCAATATAAAATATTGATGAATAATAATTCACAAACTGGAACATGTAGATTTTTAAGGCCAAACTATCATCGTACTCCGTCTGCGTTCTTTGCAGCTCAATTTCAGTCAACCAAACTGCCAACCAATCATATAAATAATTCAAAATCATAATACAAACTAAATTTACCACACCAGTGATGAGAGGAACCGTGTAAATCAAGTAGGTTTGGTAATCTTGATAGCTATCTTTGCCTACATAGAAACTTTTGGTCGCAAACATGGACATCCTGTAGACAACAATACCAACAACGACGGCGAGAGCTATCAAAGCCCACAACGCCGCCACTGTAAAGCTGAGAATGATCGACGGGAATTTGACCCGCCAAAAAGGCACGACAGGCTCGTGAAGTTGCGTGATAACATTCAGTTTCTTTTTCTTCGCGTTGTTTAATTTTATTAAATACTCGGGTCGCGGCGGTTCGGCCTGCAAATCGAACCCTGTAAGACCCCACTTGTGCGCAACGGCGGCGCTGTACCTTTTCCACAGCTCCAAGTACAACGTCGCCCAGAAGGACATGAAAACCGCGAAGAAAATCGTCGCCGGGTTGTCGATGAAATGCTGGATCTTCGAGTACGTGCAGGAGTCGCTCAGTCTCCAATAGTCGCAGTACTTGTCGCACCTAGGACACATCAGCACGTCGGATGCGCAAATGTCTCTGGACACGTCGTCGGATCTCAAGGTTATTTGCGCATATAAGATGCACAGTAGGCCGACAATCGATGCGGGGATTAACATGTTGGTGTAGAATCCCAGCCAGGCGAAGTAGAGAGCGAATTTGACGCCGAAGTAGTCCTTGATTTCGTCGATGGGTTGGTATTTTATGCATTTCGAGACGGAGGCCCATTGTTTCAGTAACAGGTTGCGTTGGGAGCCTTTTGTATCTAGATCACCCTTAAATTAAAGAAATCATTATAAGTTATTTATTAGTGTGTATAAATAAAACCAAAAACCAGTGATGTTAAAATCATTTTAGGTATTCATTCTAATAGATTAGATAAAATGATATGTTTCTAAAAACCAATAGAAACTGTTATTTTTAGTCATAGGCACAATCCACACAACAAGGTCTGTTCTTGTGAATCTGTGTTCACCACTCCATCAGATTGGTAAAGAGGTGGGAACACCCAGTCGCCGCCATATTGACTATTTACATTTTGATGAGTTATTTTAAAGCTATATTATCTATTTTGCGTTCATAATGACTTCATTATAACACCGCTTTCGGTGCTGTAATCAGATACTTTTTCCCACCCAAAATTTTGATTTTATATGTTGGCTTACTGTAAACAGCATCATATTTTGCATATTGGTTATAATATATTTATTATTTTTCTAGTACTTTTCTGGCAATAACACCAAAGAAAATCCTTTTTTTCTTTTTTAACATTAACAGCCGCTTATTGTAAATAAGTAAATTAAGGACGGCATGGCGAATCAATTTTGACCAATGACTGTGATACCAACTATCTAAAGTAAAATTCGACCAAATTAAATTTAAGGTATAAAATTATTTTTTTATAGAATTTCTGCAAAATAGATAAAATAGCATAAAGCACTCTTGTCACTCCTTCGTCGCTCGTTTTAAAAATTGTCCGCGTGCGACAAAATGACGTCTTATGACATTAGTTCTTTAATATACTATTAAAGTTTTGTAAGTGTAAAAAATGTCTACCTGCCAAGTGAAAATATGTAAAAACAATGCCAAAAGAAAAAAACTTAAATATACAATACATTTCCTTAGTATGGGCTTGAAAAACTTGATGTTAAGGATACTAAGTAGATTTATTTTAAAAACAATTGAATAGCAAACGATTAAATAGCAGAAGTTTTTTTAGAGGTACTTTCCTTTTGTATACACAGATTATCTGTGACCACGGTCTTATATACAGACCGTGTCTGTGACATATAAATAAAAAAAATAGGTTAATGTTTTAGGTTAATATTTTTGTTTGTTTTGTAGCTTGTATTTGATTCATTTACTTTAAAGATAGTTGCTATAAGAAAGAAAATTGGATAAAAAACATACAACCCAGGTAGCACAACGTGACGAAACCGTGACGATTTGTGTCCATTGTGTCCAGTTGGACACAAATCGTCACGGTTTCGTCACGTTGTGCTACCTGGGAAACTACATTCCCACAAAAAAATCTTTATATGTGGATACGGTTCTAACTTTACACTTAACAGAAATTCTATCAAAAGAAAAATCAAGTACTTTGTTAGATTGAATAAAATTGAAAAAAAAACAATATAAATCATAGTTATTTTTACAGTGTAAAAAAATAGGACAAAACCAGGAAACATAATATGATCTTTAAAGACAGCCCGTTACAGAAATCAAGTACTGAAGTGTAAGAAATTAAAATAAAATTTGAAAAACAAAATTAATCATATATTATATCACGAGAACTATGAATTTAATCGGTTAAACTAGGCTCAGTAGTTCTTTGTTTGGTTTTTGTTGGAAAATGTTGAATGCAAAATAATTTAATAAAATCACGAGACCGCGTAGCGGTCGAGGGGTTTTATTTTTAATTATTTTGCATGAAACTATTTTCCAAAAAGAAAAATCAAATAAAAAACTTACTGAGCATAGTTTGACAGATTAAATTTTTAGGTTGAGTGATATACGTCTAGATTATTTCTCGAATTAAAGGAAACTATTTGAAAATTCATAAAATCTGACGTATGTGTCAAAATTTATAAATATTTTTTTAAAGAAAATTCCATTAATTTAAGGTATGTAATAAGTAATAATTGATAGTTCGTAAACTAGATAACTTATTTTTTATAGTTTTTTAAAAAATGTTTGTTAAAACTTGTAAATAACACCATAAAACCTTAAACAAAAATCCAATATGAAGGCTAAAATTTAATCGCTGTTAAATAGTTCTAGTGATTTAATCGCTTATTTAAACGAAATTTATTCGAAAATTCAAGGCTTTTGATTGGTTCATATTATAATGAGGGAAATAATCATATATTATATCACGAGAACTATGAATTTAATCGGTTAAACTAGGCTCAGTAGTTCTTTGTTTGGTTTTTGTTGGAAAATGTTGAATGCAAAATAATTTAAAAACATCCCAAAAGCATTTTAAACCCAGCTTATACCATAATATAATATTTTTCACAAGTTTAGTTTGTTTTATTCAATGGTGGCCAATTTAGGGTTTTTATTTGGCAACTAAACCTAAATTGCAATTGTTTGCAATTACAATTTTGTAATAAATAAATTTAGAAAAATATGTTGTTGTTAACATTTTTCTTGCAATGTTAATATTGTACCTTGACACTTTTCATTATATTCTTTATATTTGCTTTAAAGCAGGATATTTTATTTTATTGAAAACATTTTTACTTATAAATGGCTTCAAAACAAGATATTGTATTTGAAAACCTATCATTTAAAACATTTAATCCAAAAACTAAAATTAAATTTTTCTTAGCACTTTTTTCATTTATTATATTTGGTATTTAGTAAATATTATTAACTTTAAAACAATATATTTTATTTGATTGAAAATCCAATAGTTTTTTTATTAATAATATTTTCTTGAAATGTTAATACTGTGACTTAAATTTTTACCTGTGATCTTCAAATTATTTGACAATTAATTCTAAAAATCGAATATTTTATAAAAATTTTAATGAATTTCATAAGAAAATAATATTTAAATTTAAAATATCTTTTTAATTCAAAGGCATGAACTAAGATGGCGGTAACTGGGTGGTGCGTAAAGTAAATCAAAATTCGTCCTACTGAAGAACATACCTTGTTTTCTTGTACCATGACCTGTTTCACAATCCACATTGTGGTCTGTTCTTTCTCGTTTTGTACATATTAAAAATCAAGTTATGCAAAATAAACCTTATTAGGGCTTTAGAACTTACAGGCTTGCTTAAATAGACATTTTTGAAGATAATTTCATCCTGTTTAAAGATTTGTACGAGCGGAAGGAGAAAAGAATAAAACATTGTTTTTTAATGGTTTTTAAAGGAAAATATTTAAAAATTGAACAGCAATGGCAAAAATGTATATATACTGTATATTATGTACATTAGGGTGCTTCATTTTAAAGCGACATTTTTTTAAAGTTCCACCTGAAAATCTTGTGCCCGGTCAGAAAACAAAAATTTTGAGCTATTACAAAACTCTTAATCTTTATTTTTGCCATTGCTGTTCAATTTTTAAATATTTTCCTTATATATTATATGTCTGTTGCCTCTAATGGGGAATACTTTAAATGCGTTTTATGATATTTACAAATTTACGGTACTTTTGAGACAGAATTAAACATGTACTACTTCTGTTTTGTACTTACGTCGTGTAGTGGATATGCAGCCTTATAAACTCCCTCAGTAATAAGTCTTTTAACACCTTTATCCTGATCTTCTCTTCCAAATCGTTCCCTTTCTAGAATATAGGAGATCACTGTTGTTCTTACAGAACTATTAAAAAAATTCGGTGCTTTGGTATCAAATCTAAAATAAGAATATTATTTAAATAATCTACATAAAGAAAGCGTTACAAATATTACAAATATTCCTTATCTCTACTAAATTCTGCGGTCAGTTGGTACTTCTGGGGCGGAAATTTTTGCGGGTCCAAGGACACTTTAAGGCAGGCTAAGATTTTTGTAAAAGTGGACGCAATTATGTTTTCAGGTAGTTCATCTTCACAATTCTAAAAATATATATGTAAATAAGCAAAACAAAACGTACTATATAATTTTTTACGTCTATAATTGGCAGCCTTAGTTTGAGAATTTCGGCATATTGAGCCAACACTTCGACGGGAACGTGTATTTTAACGAAGTGTATCCTTTGGTTTTCTTCTCGTTCTAAAATCAGCCCGATACTTTCCAAGCTTTTTTCGAATTCTTCGCGTTTTTGTATGTCTTCAGGTTTTCCTTCTTTGTCGTAGGCCAAAACAAAATCCACGTCCAGGTCTTCGTTTGTAAAACTTCTCCATTTCTATAAGAAAATACAGTATTTAGATAATTAATATATGAATAAAAACAACGCTGTTTTAAAGTTTCACTATTTTATTTATGTTTTATTTTAAAAAATTAACAATAAGAATATGTACAAATTTTTATTAAGTGGCGGTACTTTTTTTTGTAAAAACTATGGATTTGGAAAGTCAGGACCATGGAGCCTACACAAGGAGCCCGAACTTAATAGGGAAAATTGACAAAACCTGTCCACTAAATTGCACAATTTAAGTCTTTTTTTTTCACCACCAGCGGCGCTGCTTGTTAATGCGTCCGAATGACGTGAAAATAGTATCGAAAATACATGTGAAGTAAGCAAGTAAGTTTTGACAAATCAATGACAATTGATTTGCAATAATGTTTTGACGTACGAATCGTTTTGTTATTTATGGCTGTACCTGGTAGGTAGATGCTAATGAAAAGGTTTTGGTTGTGAAATATAAGTGATTCTTTATAATCTGTGAAGTGAACCAGGTACATGGGTACATTGTTTTCAGAAAGTGATAAACTGACAGTTGCATAACCTCAATTATTTGCGCAATAATAAGTGGTAGGTAGTGGCGCCATCTCTGGTTATACCCCTCTACTGTTTTGGACCGGTAGTACACCAGCGCCCTCTTATCTTAGGAAGATTCTTGTTTACATGAAGTTCGGGCTCCTTGTGTAGGCTCCATGGTCAGGACTATCTAATATAATTTTACAATATTATTAAATATTATTTTTAATACTACAGTTATACATTCTAAAATAAATTAAGCAAAGGAGAGTTGTTGGTTTCAATTTGGTCATCAAGAACAATATCCGATTTTTTCTTTAGTTTATTAATTTCCAAAAACTCCGAAAGTTTTAGTTTGGTGCCTTTATTGGGGGAAATTTTGGATAAAAATACTTTAACTTATATCTCAGTTTACGTGTTAGAGGGTTTTTCGAAAAAATATTTTTAAAGCCCTTTTAAAAAAACTTTTTGAGTAATTTTTTTTTAAGTAAATAAAAAATAAGCTGCTACTAACAAAAATACGGTCTTTAACCGCATATTTTTTATTTATATAAATAAAGAATAATAAAGGCGTTTAAAACGGTTTTAGAGTTAGATTTTTTTTTACAGTGGTTGCAAAAATTATGGCCAACACTGTATGTATCATATATATAATATTATTATATTAGTTTCCTTTTTATGCATGTCCGGCGCATCGAGGCTGTCCATAGAAAATTCTTGAAATATATTGCTTATAAGGAGGATCGAATTTACCCTAAAAGAGGCATAGACAATAATTTCTTATTAAATAGATTCTCTCTGGATTCTTTGCAGGATCGCAGAAATAGAATTGCGTTAAATTTTATTTATAATCTAAGTAACAATAAAATAGACTATCCATTTTTATTAAGTTCTTTAAAATTCTAAGTGATAAGATTTAACTCAAGAAACTCTGATACTTTTTATCTTCTAGCACCAAGAACTAATGTAATGCAATGCTCACCTATATTTAGAATATGTACTTTGTTTAATAGCATAAGTGATATATGTACCTATGTGATATTCACAATAGTCCTCTATCATATATTATTGAATGTTTTTTTGGCAGATTTTAATTTATCTGATACGTTGTTCATTATTTATTTTACTGTACTGTTAATAACATTTCCTGAAATTGGGTGTATTCCTGTTGGAAATAAATTATTATTATTATTATTAGTACCTAGATATGTACAACTGTTATATGTCTTTAAGGGGTTCTTGGATATTGGAAAAACCGTTATTGATAGCTATTTTTTGTTTTTTTGTGATTTAAGATTTTGTTAATTAATTGTGCATCATAGCCGTTGTTAACTGCTATTTATTTAATTAAATTTAATTAGTAGTTAATCTTTAAATAATAAAAAAAAAACAAATAAACTAGTGGAACTTCAAAACAATGTTTTTATTCATATATTAATAATATGAAGCTTCATCAAGTAAAGGTCGAAACAATCAACAATTATTATAATGTTTATTGCCCAATAGAAGTCTTTTTGTGCTTCACTCAACTTTGAGCTTAGCAAAAAAGACTAACTTATCAGCCTAATGACATAAATAACTATTTTCACAACGAATATTTGTTTTACTTCTACCAAGGGCGTCCCCACTAACATTCCTTTGAATATACATAACGAAAAAAATGACACGACCCTGCTTTTATTAATTAAATATAACTTTTACGTTTGCAAATTATGTCTTAGTAAAGATGACCTCTTAATTATTTTTCGTCCGACGAACGGTTTTCGAATAAAATCCTAAAAATCATTTAGATGTATTGAGTAGATCAAAAAAGGTTTTAAGGAATCCGGTTCATTTTTAGTAAGGAACGAATTACGGTCCTAAAGCAACTTTTCTTTAATTTTTTTCAACAAGGATTGAGCTAACTCCTCCAACACCCTGTATACCTAATGTTACTGTGGAGGATAATTTTGCAAATTATTTCTAAGCTGTAGGATATAATAAGTTACAATATATTATTATATATTGTATATAACTACATCAATAAATTTTATATAATTTATAACCTTAAAAGATAATACTTCTAATCAACAAACAAGGTTAAAGCAAAAAGTTAAAATATTTAACAAATTGTTTAGATACCATCTTAAATATTTCTAAAATTACTCATAGGTACACTAAAATAATTTTAATTGCTTTTATTATAAACAGTTAATTTGATTATTTATTAACAGGAAAGTTGTTCCACAGCAAGAATCCAGAAACGTGAAAACTATTTTTAGAAACCGCTCATTTCCCAAAATAAATTATTTAAGAATGAAAAAGTAATAAACCCTATTAAATAAGTTGCTACTTACAAATGATTTTTTTATTTTCATTCTCCACACTATGTTCCCAAACACATTAATAAACTGAGCGGTTTTAAAGCGCAGTCTTTATCACCATCCTGTTAATTTATGACTTATAATATACCAGGGTTTTAAAAATAAAATAAATGTATTACCTACTAATATGAAAAATACACCAAATAAAATAATACAATATAATGAAGTACAATTTTAATGATCATCCAGCTTTGGGAATGGGTTTTTTTCTCATTATACCTGGGTGTAATTAGTCAAATTTAATTTATTAATGTGCATACACATTGTTATCTAAATATTTTATTAATTATATATTTTGTACCGTTAATTAATTTTTTTTTTAAATATGTATAAAATTAAATTACTTTTATTCCCTCGTAAATACAAGTAATTAATAGTTGTTATTGTTTATAAATAAAAAAATCCTGTTAAATACGTAATAACATCGAAAAGAACTTTAAAATGTTACGATAACAATATTAAATAATAGCTTTAAGCCCGTTTTATATAGATGCGAATTGCGAATAATGTTCTCATTGGTCCATTTAATTTGGCGGGAAAAGTTTGTGAATTCGATAGATTTAAAATCTGGGAGGCGGGAATCTTGAGATATTAGATAAATATTTTAGAATATCGCACGAATTTGGCTTGAGGCATGCGCATTGCGAAGCGTCCTTGTCGGCTATTGTACTTTACGAAATTTTATGAATTTAATTTTATAATTCTTCATCCATAATACTAAAATACAAAATTAACACCAAGTATATAAAAACAAATATAAGCAAGGCAAATATCACCTAATGAGAAAAATAAATAAAATAAAATATTTGGTTGCAAAAACAAAAAAAATAATTTAAATAATTTACAAAATTAATTTTTAAAAACCAGTTCTAGACCCTATAGATTTTCGCCAGTTTGTGAAAAATTAAAATTTTGTAATTTTTACACATTTGGTTGCGCCTGTTTATTATAGTAGATTGAATGAATTAACTATACACATAGCAATATAGTCCATAGATATATTGTAAATTAATACTCACTTCTTTGTTGATAATTAACTTTAAAGATTGAAAACTAGGATCTCTCGACATGTTTCATATTATTTTTTAACTAACTAAATCCTCCCAAATTCGCTGTATACAGAGATAAGATTTTCTAACTTAAATAAATATTTAAAATCAAATACCTAATCTCTTATTAATTTGTACATGCATGTCATGACATCCATTTTAAAAGGTTAAAAATAAATTGCATACTGATTGCAAAATGTTTGGTTTATTATTTTAACTATAAAACCACCACGAAATTTTAAAGGTTTTAAATAAGAGTTGAAGAGGTTCAACCGGAAGTGAAAAGGCATTGAAAATAATTTTAAGAAATAGTTTACGTTGGCTTATTATTATTATACAAATTTCAAATCGAAATCTTTTTCGGTTCTCCATAAACTTCTAATGAATAATTTAGGTGATTCACCCTGTATATGCTAATATTGCTGATTCACTCAACAATATTATGACTATTTTTGTACGTTACGTTTTCAGAATTATATTTTATTTTTTATATAAATGTTTTAAACAATTATATTTTAGTCTATTCATATGAATATGAATAGTACATACTACATACTTGTTTTAACCCTGCTACCACCACCACCAAAAAATATTAACTAGCAGTGTTGAAATGTAAGGCAAGTTTAAAGATAAAGCTATATACATTTTTATAGGTCAGAAAATCGTTTTTATTTTAATTTATAGTTTTGGGGTTGATTAATATATATTATTATTTAATTATTAAGTACTTAATATAATATATTATATTATAATATCTGCACCCCAGTACAAAAAATACGAGGTGTGATCAAAAATATACGACAAGACAAATACGAACTACATACAATACTCTTAGGCAAAAATAGTATTTAAAATAAAGTTTTCACAAATTTTAAATTTTTATTTCAAGAAATGACTGATATCAAGGTGAATTTATCAATTAAGATAAGATTAGAAATTCCAAACAATTATTTATTTTAAATAAAATTATTCCGTTTTTGCTTAGTGGGTTTAGTATTGGCTTAGGAAATTTATCACCAAACAGATTTGAACCATTTCTAAAAAATAGCAAAAGGCAAATGGCATTTTTTTAATTTAAAATAAATCGTGGGAGTAAAACGAATATAAACATTTTAATGCCTGTTGTCCAAAAATATTTCTATGGAGGATTTATGTTAAATTTAATTTTTTCGATTTTTAATAAAAAATCAAAGATATTTTTAGGCCCCTCCGTGTCAAAAAACAGTCCAAACACTACTGAGTGTTTCTATAGTATTCTATGGTGTCCCTAAAGTGTTTTATAGTGTTTTGTGCTGTTCAATAGGGTGTCTATAGTGTCATCAAGTGTGAATGTGAGTCTTTCAATAGTTTTTTGAGTGTAACAATGGTAGTATAGTGTTCAGTAGGCCCGTGCGTAATTTTTTTGCTACCATTCACAAAGCTACAATGTAATTGACTTAAAATATCGTATTTAAAATTAAAATTTGCATTACATACTAAAAAAAGCATAGTTTTTTTTCGCGTGTACTTAATTTGTACTTTTCTTTTTATGATTACGGTTTTTTTAATAATGAGATTTTGAATTGTTAAATTTGTTATTTTTGTTTTTATGATTCTGTTTTTTGGCAACACAACCTCAAAATTTGATTAAACTTTGCTGTTTTTTTTTGAGTTTTAATAAAAAGTAACTGGAATTATTTAACTTCTGTATAGCGTTAAAAAAAAGCGTCAACTTAAAACTCACCATGTTTATTTTTTTTAATTTAGTACAACTTAGATTCATATTTAAATAAATGGTTTAAAGAATATATTAAATATTTTCTAATGTAAAATCAAACAATGGCAATATATTTTAAATAGAATCAATTTACAACAATACGCCATGTTATCTGGAAATATGAAAGCAGGTCATAAAAAATATTTTAAATTTTTTTCCTAATCGCATTTTTTTATTTATTAAATGCATAATACCATTTATAATAGGTTTTATTCGATAACCATAAAAAATATAACTAAGAAAGCCCATAAAGCAAAAAAACTTGCACCCTTATGTTCTGTGGTTGCACCTTTGATCACACCTCGTGTATAAAAAAACATGAAAGATACAAGCTTAAAGTGCATAATTGCAAAATAAAAAAAAACGTTAGATGATAAAAAACTGAACTGTACCCTATATCTCCACTGCGAGTATGTTTTAACATCCTTATTTTTAAAGACCTTATCGTGTCGCGATGCCGAGGACTCAGGGCCGTTCCTGTCGAGGGGTTGCAGTTCCATGTCGTCGTCAATATCCACGACTGAATGATAGATGGTGTTGTGCGATAGACTGAGGTACCGGTTGTTGTTCAAGCGTTTTGTTGTTGAATTAACTGAGATCGTGTCGTAAAAATCGTCATCGTCCTCCATCTTTCACCATCTGAAAATAGCGATTATTAATATACGAGACGTAATAATTATTACTATTAGATTTAACGATGGGAGAACACTGATTTGTATGCATTGGAAAGTAGTGGTCTACAGGTGCAATGTTTAAATTGTTGTTTCACACATGGTTTAACAGTTATACAGGAAAGCACTCAGGGTTATAAATTGTAAAAAACTGAAAAAATGGGGGGAAATCCTGTTTTTTTTCAAGGCCTTGAAAAAATTGGATTTTTGGGAAAAATTGATTTTTTTCTGAAATTAGACAAAACAATCAACAACAAATTATGCATAATTTTAATTAAAAAAAATATCCTTGAGGATAATAAATTTATTACAGAAAAAAAACAAACAAATAAAACCAAACATTAAATTGAAGTGAATTGAATTAAGAAAATAAACGTAAAGCCCGTAGATGCGAAATACAAATTGCGAAAAATGCTCCCATTGGTCAATTTGTTTTGGCGGGAAAAGCGTTTCGACCTTTCCACAGATCCTGCGAATTCGCAAGATTTAAATCCAGGGGGCGGCAATCTGAAGATTGATTCAATTTTTTTTGTGAAAATCGCACTAATTTGGCGTGATGCGCATGCGTTTTCCATGCGCATGTTGAGTTTATTCGAACTGTTTAAATAAGTGTTTGATGTTTATTATAATAGCCAAAGAGTTTTTGAGGTACATTACTGTTTTTTATTTTACCTTTGTAGTCACTTTAAGTAACTTTACTATTTTAGTACCTAAAATCTATTTGAAATAGATGTTGCGAAATACGAATATTCGTATTTCGCATCTATATGAAACAGACTTAACCGTTAAATATACTGTCGGTTGACCCAACCTTTTGCAAAAGGGAGTCCATTAAAAATACCAATTTACAAAAAAATGAATGATTTTAAAGTTAAATTACAAAATTATAATTTTATAAATAGATGTGTCAAATAAAACGATAATTATGTTAATACCACAGATTATAAAGGTTAATACAGCACCAAATTTGTTTTTTTGCGAACCGGTAGAAGATTCTTACTGAATTATAATAATAGGAATAATTATTATAATCATGTGGATACCACAACAATATTTGATTACAATAATAATTATTGTTATATCGCATTATTAAAATGTAAATGATAACAAATTTTATTTTTTAATTGAAAAAACTAAAAAGGGCATTCCATGATCCTCAGGACTTTTTGCCCTGACCACATTAAAAAAATTGTAGTTTTTTCAATTAAAAAATTTGTTATTTTTTCGAAGTTTGAGAGGTACACCTTTTTAATAGTAGCCGAACTGAGAAATCGAAAAATTGCATCAAATGGTATAAAAACCTAACCTCAAAGTTTGCATGGGACAATAAAGTCGTTTTTTCGCGTAAATACTATGTAATACTACGGTTAAATAAGTCATGACGTCACAGTTAATTCATATAACCATGGTTAGGTTTCTAACATTTGACATTTGTTTACTTGTTCATAACCTATAATTTTTAAAATGTGTTTTTATCTATTTATATTTAATTTCTATGCTTTTACCGGTGTAAATAAATTTCTTTGCCTCTTCTTATACCTAGTAAATTCTTTTACTATAGGTACTAGTTTTTTCAGTGCACGTTATCCAATTCTCCTACATGTTTAATACAAAATAAGGAAGAATGTAAAACAAACCTGCATATAATTCCTCCACTTGTGGAGAGTCCACAATATGGAGCACCCTATCATTTATTTTTACTGACAACGCCCCGTTTACCATTTTACAAAGTTTAAATTCGGTTTAAGAGCAATTGTACCTACTTAAAATATTTTAAATTTCAAATGTAAACAACTTTTTGACAGATCGAAACAGAAAAATATATATTAAAAACCACGTTTAATAACTAGCTCAGCGATATAGTTTTATGGTCTGGTATTTGTGACGTCATAGTTAGAATTTTTGAACGCACTCTAAACGCAAAAATGCCTTAACTATTAACCAAGGTTAAGTTTAATAACCTTAGGGCCGGTTTTTCAATCGTTGGTTAAGTTTATCTTACGGTTAATATCCTTAGATACTATTGTTAACACAATAGTATCTAAGAAAGTTAACCGTAAGATAAACTTAACCAACGATTGAAAAACCGGCCCATAGTATTTCATGGTATTTACGCAAAAAAACGACTTAAGCTTAAGCAACCCCTGTTTCTACGACACTGTGTTTACTCGAACAATTGTAATTATGTGTGAATATGTGTTTTGGTAGTAAGTGACTGTTCGCAAAATATCATATCTTTCCAAGTCTACCATAGTAGAAGTTATATTAAAAAACTAATATGATAAGTAACACTTTATCACCCTGTATCTTTTAAATCTAAATATTTATTTAGATTTTTGTCTTATTTTGACTTGCTTAATATGCTCCTAAATTTATGCCACTAAGTTTAGGGACACCTTGTATAATTAATTATCTACAATTTTTTATATAAAAACATTCGAAAATTCACTTTTTTCATGATTTGGAAATTTTCAGAAAAATTCATATTTTAATTTTTTTTTTATTACCCTTTGAATAAAATGAAAAAATGCAAGTCAATTTTTCTGAAAATTTCCCAATTTTTCCGGAAAAAAACCGTTTTTTACCGCCGCCTAAATTTTACATTGGAATAAGCATGGAACCTTAATTTTTCTCAAAACTTTTTTAATTTCGTAATCACTACACACGTTCCCGAGCACGTTCCAATTTGATTATGTGGAATATTAAAAAAATACATTTATTGACTGTAATATTTATGAAATGGAGATTTCTACCCCATAAAAAAATTATTAGAAGTGTTATGTTAAAAAATCCTTTAAGGGTTTATGGGGGATGTGTATTGATATTGTGTTTTAAAAATTAATAGTACGGCCATTCCAAGCCCATGGACAGGACACATCAGAAACATGTCTAAATATATTCTTGTTACTTCCTTAAGTTTACTTATTTTTTCTACGAGTATTTATGAGAAGTATTAGCCAAATTTGGCTAATACTTCTCATAAATACTCGTAGAAAAAATAAGTAAACTTAAGGAAGTAACAAGAATATATTTAGACATGTTTCTGATGTGTCCTGTCCATGGGCTTGGAATGGCCGAGTAGGTACATTATAGAGGGGAAAGCCGAGGCAGTAGATTGTGTGCGAGGAAATTAATAAGCTTTCTACCAAACCTTAGTTTGTACATTAAATAATAATAATAATAATTATTATTATTATTATATTAATAATTAATTAATTATTATAATTGTATGTTTTATGTAGGTATATTTTAACCAATAAAATTGGCCTTGAAGATAAAATGTTGTGTACTACAAAAAGACTCACTTCTCAGGCTAATGACATGAATAACTATTAAAAAATTTGAAGTTACTATTACCTACCATTGATAGGCTACCAAACCACAAATGCCCAACCTAGAATAAAGTGCAAAGTGCAAATTTTTGGAAAGGTTTCCATTAAGGTACCTACCTATGTGAGTTACCTATTTAACTTTTTAAAAATGTAAAGGCAAAAAAATAATACAATATTAAGAGTTAAATTAATTTCTATAAGTAAAAATAAATTTTGTATACCTAGTGTTTTAATTTTAATTAAGTAAAACATTTGCCCAAACGACTTACCAGTACTAAAAACAAGTTAAAAAGATAAGTGGTAGCACTAATTTGAAAACAAAATTAACACATGAATTTAACCAATTCACTAGAGTATTTAATTACACGCATTAATATTGTTTAAACAAAAATATAGTTTCAACTTGTAAGTCTACTAATGCAATTATTTAATAGCTATTAAGTGGTTAATTTGTACCTGGTCGTAACCACTTTGTTGGCAAAACTGAAGCAGGAACAAAATATTTTTTAAATATGTGCATGATTACTTACTGTCTACAGATAAGGAGTACTACTTTTTATTGATCACCAACTTTTTAAGCAAGTTTTAGGTTTATTTTTTATAGGTAATTTACATAATTTTGCTTTAATAATCTTATTTACATGCATAATATAATGTAAAATGTATGCTATTTATTCTTGATTTTACCTAATGAGTAATAATTAATTTCAAGGATTTAAAAAAAATTCTTCATAGAACATAAATTGTGATTTTTATATTAAAATTAAAAATCATTGTTTCATAAATTTTAACATTGGCTTACTATAACAAGTATTATACCCAATTATTTCTAAACAAGTGTCTATCTTCTAGTTTATCTAAAAAATTCTCAATGCTAGGAATTTCTAGTGTTACTTCCATGGTTACTACACAAATGTCCATGCTGCATGAACTTCAATGTTTTATAAAAATTAATTAACCTTTTATAAAAATTAAAATGTTTGTGACTTGAACTGCATTGTGGTTACAATGGGTAGGTATTATAATCTGTGATTATAATATATGACTAGTCATTTCCTTCCTTTTGTAATTAAATAATTGTACTTTTTAAGTAATACTAGTAAAATATTAAATAAATTTATAAAGATATCATCTAAACTAAATTATAAAACGTAAATAAATACTAAAAACGACCTAATAAAATAAGTCAAGTTTAAATTAAGTAAAAACCACCTGTACCTATTATTATTATTATTATTGACCTTTATAGGAGTATCCTCCTTTCACCCTAGTTATTATCTATATTATTTTTAGTGATTATTGGGCACTAATAACTTAAGCATGAGTAAAGCCTATTCACTAATCACTAAAAATAGTATATCCACCCAAAGTTAATCCCAAATAATAAGTCTGATAGGTCAAGGTTTAATTAAAAATGAATGTAAGTACCATATTTGGATTAATGGTGAAAGATAGCGGTGCGTAAGTTGGTTCATGCATGGTGACAGGTGAACAATAGAATGTGCTACTACAGCATGATCACTACATGTTATCACTGCACCTCTTATCACTACGTACACAAAACCACAGAACACCACCTGATTTGCCTTTCTAACCACACTTATCCGCTGAAAACCGAACTGAACATTTGGAACACTGTTGTCAAATTTACTACTCTTCGTTAAATTATTTTTAATTTGGTAGCAATGATTTATAATGTTGGTGACACTTAAATAATTTAAATTGTATTTAAAAAAAGACATGTCAAAATGGCAATAAAGTTCTTAAAAAAATAGTGTTCTTGGAAGTATCCTATAATTAAAATTTGTATTGCACTGAAGTAAATTACAGGTATTTATTTTTTCCTAAATATAGTTATATTTAAAAAATAAACAAATAAAATGTATCAATTAAGAAGTTTTTAACATATTCAAAAGGACTCTTTCTACACAATACATTGTAGCAACATTTGTTAAATTCAGAAAACATTGGCAATGTAGTGTTTAGGCGCCTGCGTCATAACTTCTTGTGGTCAACGAATTTTAAAATATTTTAATTTATCTTAAAATTAGATACCTACCTACCTACATATAATTATTAATGACCCAATAACATTTTATTATACTTACACACAGATAAAATTTATCACATATGAGATCTAATAATTATTATAAGTAAAATAATTTTTTGAAATAGGTACCTCCTATATAATTCCTAAAAATAAACTTGATATAATGGTTTATTTATTAAAGCAAATATAGTACAATAATGGTTTGTTTATTGTAATTAAACTTTTATGTTTAATGGCATTGTCCAAAGGTTTTAAAAAATAAAAATCTGAATTTTTATTTACATAAAAATAACTTTATTGGCATTTAGAAGTAAAATACTTATTTGTAACACAGAACTGGATATATTTGGAAATACCTTAAATATAAAATCTAATAAATATACATTTAAAATGGAATATAACATTAAAAAACAAATTTAGAGTAATAAAGCTGTATAACAAGTTACGAATAAATGTGGCACAAGAGTTTCTTTTATTGGGCCATTTAATGACAGATCTATCTTATAGATAAACTTACATTTATTTACTAATTCTAAATGTCTTAATTTCAAATGGGTACCAATAAAATATTTTATATTTTCAAACTAAATACCATATTTAAAAACTGCTCGTAATGAATTTGTATGACTCCATCTTGATCTGTGTCATGTTGCCTGAATGCTGCAGTTAAGGTCTAAAAAATAATAGTAATAATGTAGTTACAATTTTTGAAGAATAATTTTTTTGTTAAACTTACATAAAGCACAATACAGCATTGGATGAAATCGTCAAACAAAATAGTGCCATTACCATGCCTATCAAACTTTCTCAACAGGGTGGTGATGAGACTTTCGGAAAATCGGTAACCAAATGTAGTAAGGGCAGTTTTTAGTTCATTTCTATCAATATTTCCTGAGCCATCTCTATCAAAAGACTTGAAGCAGTTCTGCCAATCTGTAACGTATTTCCATAGAGCTCCGAAATCCTCAAAACTTACTTGCCCCATGTTTCTACGATCAAACATACCTAAAATAGGTTCATAAATATTTGCATCATTAGGGAATATTTTTGGCTCACCAATCATCAATCTGACTGTTTCGGGGTTGAAGGGGCTCCATGTTCCATTGGAAAGAGCTTGTTGCAGCTCTTCGGTGTTAATAAATCCACTTCTGTCCCTGTCCACCCTAAAAACACAAATTTTTAGGTTATGTCAAATTAGAGCAACAAGTTTTTAACAAACCTTTGAAAAACGTCCCATAAAAACTCCCTGTTGGGCATTGGCGACTGAAATTGACTCATTTTGGCTTGTTTGTAGTTGTTTTGACTTTATTTGTAGACTGTTATCAAAACGCGATCACTTTCTTTATTTTAATCAACGTTGCCAAATTTCTTGAAATGTGATTCATTCTCGAAGAAGCCCACGTCATATAAATATTTATGACGTGGATTTCCCGAATGTTAAAAAGCGGTTTATATTATTTAAATTTTATAGGTGAGTACGTATCCGGCTTTGCTTCCGTGGTTTTATCTAAGTGGTAAAATTTTACCGATAAAATTTTTGATTTTTATACGAATGTTTTTTTCTTGTAAATTTCGCAAGTGGCATTCATTTTTAAGACCACGAGCCGCTAGGCGCTATTAACATTGCCCGTTATTATTTTAATTAAACATAACAATTATTGATACTTAAAAATATTAAAATAACTTCTAAATATGATTATGTTAAGAAAATATTTTATCCTTTGATTTTTTTATGACTATAATTGCAAAATATTATAATATTGATGATTGATATATCAAAAAGTATTAAAAATTCTTACACTGGAAAAGTGGAGTTAAAATCTCAAATTTTTGTATGAAAATAGATAATTTATATAGAAGCAGTTTTTACAGTAAAGAAGAGAATGTTCTATGGACCACAATTCTGCTATGGACACTGTATGCAAAATTGTTAACGCTCTATCTGTTAAATCTAGTTAACTGCACAATCCACATTGTGTGGATTGTGGTTAACTGCACCAATATGAAATGAAAAGGTCAGTACAAACGTTCATACCTATATATAATTTTCACATTTAGTATTATTTTACAAAAAAGGCACTTTATTTTAATGATTGTATGACATTTGACAACTGTGACTTAAAAGATGTAGCCAACTTCAGCCCGTGACTAAAGCGCCATAAAACCACAACAAATGTGTATTTAAAAGGTCACAATGTCATGGAAACATGTACGATAATGGGCGTTTTTAAGGTGAGAGTAGAAAAATATATTTTTTTTTTAGAGATTTAAACTTAAATAAAACAAACAAATCATGGTTATGCGTCATGCACATTTATTATTTACTGTAGGTACTTTTTTGGGAATTTTTTTGATGGGAAAAAACTAAGTAGGGTTAGTTCAGGTTTATTTTTTTGTTATGGAATATTATCTTATGGAATTTATCTTTATATATTAGCTACGCCCGTACGCACACATTTATATAGTCGATAATAATTAATAGCCACAAATAATATTAAAATTACGAATTAATCCCGGCGCATTCGCCATTTTTTGTCAAAATTCGATTTCGATCGATTTCGATCGATTTTTGTATGCGGTTAACTAAGTAGGTATTTTAGTTTTTGGTCTTTTATAGTTTCTTATTTCTTCGTAAACTTTCTAATTTGGAATGTATTAATTATTAATATTTAATAATTTCTTATTTGTTTTTTACGTAAAAAAAACTAAAAAAATATGATATGGAAGACTCTCTAGGGAGGGGTCACCAATTAGTTTTATTGGAAATCAGAATTATCATACTAAACAATTGTGGCGGTCCGGACGGCTAGCAAATTTCTAATTAAAAATAAAACAAGAAGTAAATTGAAATAAAAGGTGTTTATAAGTTAATATTTAATGAAGAATTGTGGGGAATACATGTTTTATTCTCAATATGCATGCAACTATCTCTTTCTCTTATATGCCCTTTTTCTGCAAAACAATTTATTTGATGTAAAAAAATACATTTTTTGCTACGAGGAGCTGTCAGGAGTAAATAAATTTTTTTTTTTTTTTAATTCCAATTTTCGACCAAACTTCATTACAAACGAAGTTGACCAAAAATAACTATGTCTTTATTTTTATGCAGTTTTTTGAGCTATCGCGTTGGGAAATGATTGGCATAAAATATGTCCATTTTTGGACAAACGTGAAAACACTGACAATTCATAATATGACATATTATGTCAAAATAAACCCCAATACGCTAAAGAAGTATCGGATTTTCGCAACGCGCGCGCCATCTGGTGGACTTCAAAAGCATTGCGTCAATTTAAAAATTGTCAACAATACATTTAAAGCGTACGAACTGTACATCATTTTTAAATAAATAGGTAGTTTTTTCACAAAAGAGAGGAAGGAAGAAGTCTTACTCGACAAATTTTGTTCAATTGCACAGCTAAATCGCGCACGTTATTTGTGTTTTACGTTGCAAGGAAAAAACTAAAAAACTGGTTTAGTACTCGATTTCGATTGATTATTCTTTATATCATTGATTAAGAAACTCAACGCTTAAATGCTTATATAGTTACGTTAGTGTGTGTATTTTATCTAAGGGATCATGGTGAATTATTGTGTTTTTAATTGTAAATAAAATTCAAGAACTAAACTCATTGCATTTTCATGTTTTGCCAAAGAATCCAATTTGGTAAGTACATTTGTTGGTCCAGAATTTACTAATGATAACTCTACCTAATATAATTTATATTTAAGTTTGGACATTTTTAAGAAATTAGTAAAAAATAACCCAGGATTTCATCTCGAAATACACCCAACAACTAAACAAATCGTGCCACGGTTTTTTTTCGATATTTTTAAACATATTCCGGCTTTTTTCTTAAAAACACTCGTTTGTAACATAGGCGTTTGATAGCTGATTATCAAAAGTTGTACTTTTGTTACGATGATAACAGCCGAGTGGTGGCGCTACTAGAGATACTTCTTTAGCGTATAAATATAAAATATCGTAGGTACACCAAACTTAGTTAGGAAAAGTTCACTATTTTTTTTCCAAACCTTGGTTCTCTGAGTAACCCTTATATATAAATAATGAAATTAAAAAACCTGAAACAAATAAAGCCAATGGCTTTAATAAAACTTGGTACATTAAAAACAAATATATTAAATAATAGGCATTGGTAAAATTTGATAAAATAAATAATTTTAGCTAAAATATATATTATGTAAGTTAAATAGTTCTAAATGTAAAATGGCAATCCAAAGGATGAGCAGTCGTCATAACAATGCTGGACTCTAATTTCAAATCGTGTATAGAAGTATAAATAGTAGATATTTTAAAATTTCTTACGATATTTGCAAGTGAGCTTTTAAGCACCATGGTTGCATATTTCAAGCCTACAACAAAATTATTTAAAAACAAATTTAATAATGTTTAATAATAATAATAATAATAATAATAATAAAAATTACCTATGCAATTTCTCGGTCCTCCAGAAAAGGGCAAGAAAGAAAACTGCGGTCTTTTTGCAACTTCTTCCGGTAAAAATCGATCAGGATCATATCTCATAGGATCAGGATAAATGTCTTTGTTTCTATGCAGATCCATGAAGTTCATTATAATGCCCGAGTTTGCTGGTATAACTTTATCAGCTAAAAATTTTTATTTAACTTAAATATAATTAAAAACAAATAAACAGGGTGATCTTGCAAATACTTTAAATTTAAAAACTTAAATGTTAAAGGGTATTTTTATTTACCGATCATATATTTTTATTATCAGATCACCCTGTTTGTAAAGTATTCTTACGAAGTTCGATGTCCGCAGTTGCTTGTCTGGCAATAATGGGTACAACAGGTAATAATCGTTGTGCTTCGTTTATGGCCATTTCAGTGTATTTTAAATCGTTAAGGGTCATATTAGTTATTTCTCCTTCACGACCCACCAAAGACATTACTTCTTGGTATACTTTTTCCTTTAAATAATTTATATTTTTATTAAAAGATTTGTTAATTTTTTTTCATTTAAATCATATTGTTACCTGAGCTTCCGGGTGCATAGCCAATAAACAACATGTGTAGGCCAAAGTGTAAGCTGTTGTGTCGGTAGCCTAAACAGTGCATTCTTTTTTAATATACCGGGTTACTGATTAAATTATATACAGAGTGTAAATAAAAGGCTTGGCAAAACTTCACTAACATGTCCTGAAATGCTTACTCTGCAGAGCATGGAATTAATGAAATAAAGTCCACTGCTTGAGAAATACTAATTTTAAAACTTTTAATGTAATCAGGGTAAGACATGTTATTTTTAATATATTTTTCTATGGGTAGTGTTTAAGTTATTAAGTATTTAAGTAAAAATCTTAGCGGCACTGCAGCGTTTCCAAGATTTTTACTTAAATACACTGCGCATAAAAAGTAACGCATAAGAAGTAAAAACAATCTAACTCTAAAACGCCTTTAACAATCTTTATACAATTTTGGATAAAAATACTTTAACTTATATCTCAGTTTACCTGTTTAGGGGTTTATCGAGAAAATATCTTTAAAGCCCTTTTAATAATAAAAAACGTTTGAAAAAAATTTTTATACGGAAAAATTAAATAAAAAATATGCTGTGAAAATGTAAAATGTAAAAATGTTGTACAAATCAAACGAACAGTAACGAAGATACACCGCTTTAAAGTCGTCAAAAATGACCACTTTTCAGCAAAATAATCAAAAAGGTATCATTTTTGGGTGAAAACCAAAACAAATATTTGCCATGTTGAGTGTTATCAATACAATTAAGCACGGTGTACCTGATCAAAGTTTAAGTCACATAAAAATACCGCCAAAAACTGATTGCAGTTTCTTGTTCGGGACTTAAAAATGATATTTACCAAAACCCTAGCTGCTCCTCTTTTTGAAATTTTTTGATAATTCATGTTTTTTTTTTTAATTTTTGTTTATTTCAAAGTCGACCTTTGACACAGTACACAGTACAAATTTTGTACATCGATTTTTATAAAATTAGAGTATATTAATGAGTAGACTTAAAGAATACTTTTTAATACTGTTTACATCATTCAATTGAATATATCAAATGATGTGAACAGTATTAAAAAGTATTCTTTAAGTATTCTTGATCAAGGTGAGCCAAAAATCACTTATTTTTAATAAAGCAAAAGCGTAAGTTCATGATTTTAGCATAACACGCATTTTTTTTTTTAGATATTTCTATGTTTATCAGGTTACAAAATGGCATTCTTATTAACCTTTTATAAAAAATTAATTTTTTAATAAAATTACGCTTAGAGAATATTTCAAATGTTGTTTATTTTAGGCTTTTTTAGTAGTAACTGTTGTAACTTAGTAGAAACTGTTTTCAATTTTGAGCCAAAAACTGGTTAAAGTTTTTTTTTTTTTTTTGATCGGCACTCTTTGGAGATTTAAAAACGATATTTATCAAATTCTAACTGCTTTTTTTAAATTTATTAAAAAATCATTTTTTTTAATTATTTGTTTATCGCAAAGTCTACCTTTGCCAGAGTACACATTTGTACACCTATTTTTATTGATTGTAGTTTCTTGTTCAGGACCCTTTGGTAACTTTAAAATGATATTTACGAAAATCCTAGCTGCTCCTCGAAATTTTTTGAAAATTCTAATTAATTATTGTTTATCTCTACACAACCCTCACAACGACCTTTTGTATGCTACCTTCAATATCTTACCAATTATGGAAAGATTTATCAAATTATCTACAAACTTTATTAGCAAGGACGCTAACTACAACATTCTGAGCGAGTTGTGTTTGGAGGTACAGGGCAACAGGAAGTTCAAGCACCCAGAGAAGACCATATGGGAACATCTTAAACAAACACGAGATAACATACTAATTAATTAATTTCAATTTCACGATTATATACTGTTTTTTTTTTGTTACATATATTCAGGATATGTTCACCGGCTGAAGGACCTCGGTCAATGGCCATTTGTAAGAAATTGTATTAACTTTTTTTTGCAATAAAGTTCATTTATTATTATTGTTTATCTTATCTTTGACAGAGTACACATTTGTACACCGATTTTTATAATATTGGGGTATAATGTTAACGAGACTTGGAGAATACTGTTTTCATACTGAGCACATCATTAGATTTATACAGGGTTAGCCAAAAATCAGTTTTTTATATAATAAAAAGCAAAATGCACAAAAAAGATTTATCTTCAAAAAATTTTATTTTATTTAATTATATTCAAAATCAATTTTTCTTATAAAGTCTAAATAAGAATCCCATTTTGTAGCCTGATAAACATAAAAATATCTAAAAAAAACATGGGTGGGTATATATCTTTTTTGCGTGGTATGCCAAAATCATGAAGTTGCGCTTTTGCTTTATTAAAAAAAGCGATTTTTGGCTAACCCTGTATATATTAAATGATGTGCACAGTATAAAAAAGTATTCTCCAAATCTCCTTAACAATATACTCCAATATTTTACAAATCGGTGTACTCTGTCAAAGGTAGACTTTAAGATAAAAAAAATCATGAATTTTCAAAAAATTTCGAAAAGAGGAGCAGCTAGGATTTTGGTAAATATCATTTTTAAGTCACCAAAGGGTCCCGAACAAAAAAATGCAATCAGTTTTTGGCGGCATTTTTATGTGACTTAAACTTCGTTCAGGCACACCGTGTAAGGTCAAATCATTTTTACAAAAGTGTTAATTTGTAATTAATTTGTTTGATTGTAAAACAAAATAATATTTGGTACCTGTAAGCTTCGCTCACTCTCTAATAATGAATTAGTCAAAAATGACTAATTTAATAGTTATTAGTGGCTGCTTTTTCACGTGTACCATGGTTAACCATGGTTTACCATGGTATCCCAAAATTTAACAGCAAATTCTTATGTAAAATTGCCCCCTGAATCCGAAAATACCGTCAAAAATGATGAAAGTGGAGCAGTTTTTGAGATATAGTCATTCCTTTTGAAATGGAAAATTGACTATATCTCAAAAACTGTTCTACTTCATTTTTAAAGAGCACGTGTCACACAAATGCTTATTCGACCATCTTCTCCATTTGTTGCACGATATACTACACTGAAAGAAATATATACTAAAGTTAAATAAAAAAATAATTAGGGCAAATATATTTTATGTTTCATATATAGACTACCACATACATTGCTAAAACAAATATATTCGTTTGGTTAGCAGCCTATTGCTGCCCTAGCAATATAAATGGTGTTTCTAGCAATATTTTTTTGCTGTAATTCACTTATAGTTTACATTTTATAGTAAGGGTAAGTTTATTTTTATTTAGATCTAACATATCTTCTTTACAATAAATGTATTACAAAATTTACCATACATTCATAATAAACAGTAGTATAAATGTGTAAAGCACTAGTATAAAATTTTTAGTATAAATTTGTATTTACTTTTAGCAACAAATTTCTTTCAGTGTATTGTACTTATGTATTTACATTTTGCATGGTATTTTCTGAACAATTAACCAAAATGATTTTAAAATTAGTTAGCTATTATAGTAATTCTTACTGCTCCAGCAAACAAGATCATTTCTTCTTTGATGTAATTGTCAGTTAGGTTTTCCTTTTCTTCATTTTGAAGCAATAAATCCAAAACTGGCAGCGTATTTGTGTTCAATAAAGCTTCTGTAAAATAAATGTAAAGTAAGTAAGTAATTATTAGGTATATTTAAATACCATTATGTTCTTCAATCAGTATCTTCTTTTTATGCATAATCTAAAAAGCAAATAGGTATATTAATAAAAAACAGAAGTATTATGAGATGTTGATGATTTTTACTTTTTCTATGTAATTACATAAAATTTTCATCTGTTTATAAAATATTTTTCCATCATGGCATAAGGAAAACAGAAAATCATTCATTTTGATAATGTTTCCTATTCTTTCAAAGGCTTTCTTTTGAATCCTGAAATACACTGCGTTTTAAAATTAGGAAATAGTAAAATTGTTCTTAACATGATATATTCTTTGAAATACCGATCAAATTTTCATTAGTTTTTTTTAAATTTTATCAAGCACTACTGGTTTGGTTTTTGGTTTAACATGTATTCATGCATAAACTAACATATTTGTAACAAATAATTTTTTATTTTCTCTGTATATTTTCTGGTATGGATTGAGTGCGCTTTTTTGGGCATTATGTTGGCAACAATAGTACATTATAGGTACAGGTGGAGAAAGCTCATATTATAGTCGATTTTGTCGCATCCTTTTTAGGTTAGGTCCAACTAACTCGATGATATTTTAGGTTTATTTTTGTACTAAGGTTTATATTTTAATAATTTGACTTTTGAACTTGTATTAATATAAAATCTTTCTATACAGGGTGTTTGGGGTCCATAAAGAACAAGAAATTTTGTGTAATTAAGAATTATTAAGTAACGTCAAACTTACAATTTGCATTGTAATTAAACTCATACAAAATGTCCCGATTTTTTTTGCCAGAATCTGGTAAGTTATGAGTGTTATATTATAATATAAAAAATAGTGTACACTTAAAAAAAGGATATACCACGTTAAAAACTAATTAAAAAACTACAACTTGCAGTTTAAAAAAAGAAGAAAAATTCATACATTTCTACAAACATTACATAATACTTACAATGTAATCCCTGTTACAAATTCATGTTCTTTTACATCTGTTAAAATTGTACTTTCAATCCCAAGTGTTGCCTCTAAAATAAAGTTTAAACGATTGGCAGTAGACATTAAACTTTTTTATTTGCGACTAATTAGCGACTAGTTATACTAGCTTTTAATAATAATTATTTGACGTTTCAAAAAGCCAATAAAAACTTTAATTTCAGTCATGTGTGAAATAATCTACTTACATTATTTCCGGGAAATTTATTAGCAGTCATGTTTATTGTTAAGGCATTATTGTTACGTCAAAAAAATAATACAACAAATACCACACGAAAGACAAATAAATTGAAAATAATTCTCCAGATATTTTCTCAACAGACACTCAAACCCTACTTGCCCACTGGTTTTCGAATATCTGTCGAATAATTTAGTTATTCCCACTCTCTTGTGATATTACTACTAATTGTTGAATCACAAATTGAAAGTGAAACTTTTTACTTAGTCTCAGTACCTAGTTGGTTATCTATTTTTTAATGTAGGTACACATTTGTTTTTCAAATTTTAATTAAATTGTAAAATTAGTTTAAGATTCAATGTTTATGACTAAAAAAGGTTGTGTGCATACTAACAAATAAGCATATTTACCACAAAAAGTATCCAAAGTAAACTTTTCAAACAAATGGTAGATATCATTTTCATCATATTTTTTTTCTTTTAATATTTTAATAAGAGTACAGCTCTTCTCATAGAATATTGGTGTAAAAGAATCTAATATTGATTGTTTAAAACTTCTGGAAATTAATTTTCTATGTTTTTTCCATATTGGGACTGAAATAAATAATTTAATGAGATTATCAAATAATAATAATCATATATATATATATAATTATAATTTATGCGGGGTGGTTTGTCACTAAATACGTTTTAATTTTTTTGAGTTATAAATTTAAAAAAAGTTAATATCCAAATTAACTATGCGGTGACAACCGTAAACACTTTAGGGTTGTCCTTAATTGGGGTATTTTTAAATTATTATGCTCTCACATTTTTTTGTAAATATTAAAAGTTTTGTAATTTAAAAAAAATGTACTTTTGGAAATATTAAAATTTTTGAAAAGTTTTGAAATTCTTAATAATTTTAATTTCTTTAAATTAAAGTTTGAACGTTAATTAACATATAAACGCTTTTGTCTATGAATTTTATAAATCAGATCTTTTTTGCAGAGCTTTTAATTCTCTACAAAAATGTGTATTTTTTATTATTGTCCGTATCAACGTGTCAACGACAAGGAAAAAACAGGTTTTCCTATGTTATTTTCATCTTTAGGAAATTTCAATCACAAAGCGAAATATCTTGGGGTTGATATAGAGATTTGAAAGCGTTTAACCCACTGGGAGATAATATTCAAAAATACCCCAAATAGGCACCACCCTAATATACCTGGAGCTAAAAGTAAAGAATTTCCGAAAATTGCTTTCAAATGGTTATACTCCAAACTTTTTTCTAAAACATTAGGATGTTGTAACAATATTTTTAATTCCTCATATCTGGAGGTAAAATATGTTCTATGTGGAATATAAGCCACAGTACTGTTTCCAAAGTCCTTGAAGAAATCGTTTATGGCATTTAAAATATCTAAAAATAAATGAGATAAAATAAGCTTAAAAAAACTACAAAAAAATTCCAATTGTTAGCCAACAATAATATTATTTTAATAGGAGAAATAATACTTACTGGTTCCCAGCATCTTCCATGTATTTCCAATAAGTGGTATATACAAAGGGGTAGGCAAATCATAAAAGGCCTTATATTTAGCCTTATGTTTTTGACATTGTACGTTATAGTAAATAAGGACTAAAACAACCACAACTACCAAAACCTCAAACATTTTGTTATTGGAACTAAAATACAATATATTTATTATTATTATGGGCACAAAGTATAATTACTTTTCAAACTTGTAAAAGTTGCGTGTTAATAATATATAGTTGTTTAATTTAATTAGTGGGTTGCAAATTTGACTTTGGCCTGGTATTAAAAAATATTACAGGGTATAAAAATAAAAAGTATTTTTTAATATTTATAAATATTTGATTATTTACGAGGTGTGTTCAGAAAATTTCGGGAATTTTCGTTTTTTAAAACAAATATTTATTTATTCGTCTACAATAATGTTGTCGCCTTCAAAATAGTCCCCATTAGATATTATGCACATGTGCCATCTCTTCTTCCAATACTCAAAACACTTCTAAAACTCGATCTTTGGGATAGCCTTTAGTTCTTTCAGCGATGCGCTTTTAATATCATCTATGCTTGCAAAACGACGGCCCTTTAAGGTTCTCTTTATTTTTGGGAATATGAAAAAGTCAGACAGAGGCATGTCTGGCAAATAGGGAGGCTGGGGCATCATTATAGTATTGTTTTTGGCCAAAAATTTTGTTCAAAATTTAATAATTTTAGAACAAATTTTACTGCCACGCGTTTCATAACCAAAACATTCAAAAAAATTTCATGGGATGAGCCAATCGATATACCAACATCATCAGCGACTTCTCTGATGGTTTATAAACATTTCTTCCACTTTTTCCATGTTTTTATCGGTTGTTAATGTGCTTGTGCTTTCGGGGCGTTCGTCATCTTCAAGGTCTTCACGGTCATCTTGGAAACTTTTATACCACTTGTAAACTCTTGTTTTACTAATAGCAAACTCACTATAGGCCTTTGTTAACATTTCACAGAATTTATTTAATTTTTTAAGATACAAATTCTTTGATTAATTTCTTTTAACGAACGAAGAATCGCCGAGCTCATAAAACACGTCTAACCTTAGCGGCTGCCACAGACAAAGTAAGCAATGAAAACAGCTAAAGTTTTTATCATACTTCGGGGGCATGTATACCAACATAATAAAGAAAATTTTATGACAACCGTCCCTCTGAACCCGCGAAATTTAACAATTCCCGTTATTTTCTGAACACACCTCGTATAGTAATATTCATATCATTGGGTGCTATATGGGCACAAATTCTTGATGATTATAGAATAGGATTTAACAACCTTAATCATAGCGCAGTCGGTGGGATATGTTTTAGTGGGGGTTTATTAATTACAGTATTGCAAGAAGATACTAGGGCAGCTTGCGACTGCCAAGAAGGCCAGTAAAATTAAAGAAAAACCGGGCAAAATCAAAAAACTAAACTGTGCACCACTCAATGTGTCGCGACCAAAAAGTTCGTTCTTTTTCAAAACGAACTAACTTTTTGTTTCTTGAACGATTTTATTTTGTCTGTGATGTCTCTTAGCTTCATCCTCTGGCAATTCATGATATAGATATGAAGCTTAAGGTTCCTCACACGGTGAAAAATTTCAATAACTTCATCCAAGCCCCGTCTGTAAAAAAATTTTTTTTTTCTCGTTTTTACTTTAAAATAATGAAGTATTATGTCTTACCTTGAAACGTTTTTCAAATTTTTGGAATTGGAATCTTAGCAATGAAAATATGAATTTTTTACAAAAAAAAACACTTAAGGCTTTTTTGTAGGCAATTTAACAGCCGGGAATTGTTTTCGAATTTTGATTCTTAATAATTATGGTTTTATCTAAAACTTTGACAACTGAATCACAATCAGGAGGTCAAAATTATAAACAAAACCTGTCACGAACGTAAATATCGGTTCAGGTTTAGTTTTCGCAAATTTTCAACCAAAATGTCATTTTGAAAAAGTGGTCTTTGCTTAGGACCCTTTGAAAATAATGGAAAAATCATATTTTCTTTGCTATGATTCCAATACGAAAAATTTGAAAACATTTTCAAGGTGAGACATAATACTTCAATATTTTAAAGTAAAAACGAGAAAAACATATTTTTTTTACAAACGGGGCTTGGATGAAGATATTGAAATTTTTCACCGTTTTACATATCACCCTGTACGAAATTTACTTAAAGAACCGTGAGCTTTATATCTATAGCATAAATTACCAGAGGATGGGGCTAGCAGACATCACAGACCAAAATAAAATCATTCAAGAAACAAGAAAGTTATGTCGTTTTGGAAAAGGACAAACTTTTTGGTCGCGACACATTGAGTGGTGCGCAGTTTAGTTATAAAGTATATTTTGCTGGTGAAAATCACATGATTACAACTTTGCTAATGTAATATGGAGATATTTCAACTGTATCGTGGCAGATTTAGTTATTTTAAAGTAATTTCCACTTATTTCCCACTTAAGTAGCTATATCAGTTTTCATCAATATAATGCTACTTAGGTTTAAAATAGGAATGATGATAAAAGTACTTCAAGTTAATAAATACATTTTATATATTTATTTATTTATTAAAATAATAGTGAGATTTATTTATTTATTAATTAAAATAATATTAACTAAAATGAAAAAAAATACAAATTTGGTTCTATTTCATTCATTTAAATCGTAAAAACAAGACGAATTGTCATGTCAAATAAAATACGTCAAATAATACGCAAATGGTTGTTTCGACATGTAAAAGGACAAAACGTAAAAAAGGAGGAAGGTTATATTTATAAAAAAAATCCGACAATCCTTTGTTACGCCGTTGATTCACAGGGATATTAGGTATATTATATATTATAATGATTAACGTACCTTATTAATCCAAGCTTATATGCAGTCTATAGACAAGGGATAATGTATGGATATGGTTGAGGCTTTGAGTAATTGTATATTGGAGGGGTTGTAGTAACTAATAATACAATTATTAAAAAATTATGAGTTGGATTCACTTCTTATTTGGCGACTAAATTTTTTAACATGAGAATGGAGAATATAACGTAAATAGGAATCCTTGTTCCACATTGATTTTTTTAAAGATTAGTTTCTTTATTATTATGATATAAATAAAACTAAAAACAAGTTTAAATATTTTTACATTTATATATTTTAAGATTTAGCAATGCCTGTTTATTTTGTAGCTCTTGCTCGACAAGCACCACCTTTTTAGCGAAAAATCCTTTAGTTGAAAATTAACCAGGCATCAGAAATGTCAACCTTTTCTTGTTGTTAAATAATAAAATATGCTATTAGTCATTAAATCTTAAACCTATTTTATCTTTTATCGGTTTTTAAATCAATCTTTATTGTTGTCAACACTCTATTGGTCCATTTTCTTGACATGCTAAGATATATAATTTTTTTTACCTAAATAAACTTTATATATATTACTAGCTTTAGTTAAATAATGTGTTAAATACTGTGATGAATTAAAATTACATTTTTTAAAACATTTAATCTCAATTGTTCAAAAATGTCTTTAAATTTGTAATGGCTATAATTTGCTTTGAGGGTATACTCATAGTAAGAAGTATAATTAAATAAATAAAGATTATAATTAGGATATTTTTTGCTATTTAATAACAGATTAATAATTATCATAAGGGTACAATAAACATGATAATTAACATAAAAACACTTATAGATACATACGCATGATAAAGAGTTTATACATTTAATATTCGCTATAGCGTGCTCCGTTTAAAACTAACATGTTTTTTTATTCCCCATTATAATAATTATTTATATCATTAGTCTTTTTGTGCTAAGCTCAGTTTTTAAGCGAAGCACAAAAAAACGTCTTGGCAAATAGCTTACAATATTTTATTTTCACAATTTTACATGTAATAGAGGTTCAGACAGTACATTGCGGGGAAAGGGGTAAGGAGAGTTGCTTTTATACTTAATTTATAAACAGCAATAGGTACCAACTTGAAAAATTTACTTTGTTATTTTATTAAATTTGATTTAAAAAAACTAACTGATTTTATAATTATTTTTTATTTTAATACAAAAGGCACTATATACATTAGGATGGTGCGAAATATGAATATTTTTAAAATTGAAAAAGCCTGTATATAGAATACTTGTGTATAGTAAAAATAAATATTTTTTGTATTTTTTTTTAAATTTTTTTAATTTCCTTCCACCGCCCCAAAGCCATCTTAAATATAAAAATTACTATATTCAGACGGCGGTGAAAAACAGTTTAAAAATTTTTTCAGCAAAGATGTTATTTTTAGCATAATTAACTTTTACAAAATAAAGTACAGTGGCAGAAACGGAATTTTGAACATCATAATTAATAATGTACATGCAAAATAATTTAAATAGCAAAGGTACAATATTGACCATTTTTGCTTTCGCTGTCAAAAGGACAAGACTAGTGATTACCGGAAGTAAGGTTAGTTATCCATAAGGGAAGTTTAGAGTTTGATGTCAATGGGATGATAGTCGTTCAAAATTCTGTGTCCGCCACTGTACCTACCTAATTTGATTAAAAATAAGCTAAATGGAGGCCCCCGGTCAATTTAAAAAATAAATAAATATTTTCATATTTCAGATTAAGCGGGGATCCGCCTATTTAGTTACCTTTTTTTTTAAAAATCAAAGTGTGAAATTTTAGAAAACTTACTTATGTTAAAAATAAACATCTTGGTGACAAAAATATACATATCTATAAATATATTTTTAAATTCCTTCCACTGTCGCAGAGCCATGACAAACATAAAAATTATAATGTTTGAGCTGGAGCAAAAAACTTAGTATTATAAATATTTTTTTTTAACAAATTTGATTATTTTGAGCATAAGTAACTTTTACAAAGTTGAGCACTTTAATTAAAAAAAAAATGCGAAATGGGCGGACCCAAGTCAATGTCAAATATGAAAATATTTGTATTTTTAAAAAATAACCGGGGGCCACCCCAAATTTTGGAAAAGTTAGGTACGCCCTAAAAATATATTGGCTCAAAAAAAAATATATTTAAAACCGTTTTTCACCGTCGCGACGCGTCGTCTGAATTTTATAATTTTTATATTTAGGATAGCACAGGGGCCGTGGAAGGAATTAAAAGTATATTTTTTTTCACCAAAATATTTATTTATATCATACAAAGTTTTTTATATATATATATATATATATATATATATATACGTTTTCAATTTTAAAAATATTTATATCGCATATTTATTCGCACCACCATAATATACATAAATATTTTAACACAATAACGAGAATATTATTTAAACGCGACAACATTGGAAGTGATTGATAGTTGATTTTTATGGCAACGCTTTACGCTTTTTACAGTGACAGTGACATTTCTTTATGCAGTGTTATTTAAAACCCTAAAATAGGTTGTAAGTAAAAAGTGAGGTTAGATCGATCTGACAGAAGTCATGATTGACCCAAAGTGGTAAATAATATTTTTTTACAGCCTAGGCCATAAATAAACCCAACCTTATTGGTCTGAATCATTTTTAAGTGCCTAGCTCCCAGGCCACAACCCTTTAGTAACTAGTGTTGATAACAAGTTTAAATTATTATTATAAATACATATTTAGTTTTATGTTTAGCTATTAATATTAATTTTGCAGCGTTTTTAAAGTTTTTCCATGTTAATGTAAATGTTGCTCTTTTTATTTTTATTAAATAAAACATAGCCCCATATTATTATTTATAAAGTTTATAAACTGTTGGTTCAAATTTTAATTTATAGAGAACTAGAACTAGCCTATAGATTCTGCTTGGCGGTTATATAATTATGATAGCCGTATGTGAGCTTAAAAAGTCAAATGTATATTTGTATTTTCTTTGCATTGTATTTTTACACTAAAAAATACAATTTTAATTTTTGTTATAACTACACGTACTTTTATTGGGTATCATATAAAAATAAAAAATATTCAATTTTTTAGTTTTTTAAATCTTATATAATATGCACATAAATAGGTTTAACAAAAAACATATAATATAATTTATCTCGGAGTAAAGTGAACGTCTAAGGGTCTTGTTGGAATCATAACAATACTGGATTCGAAGTCAAGTTCATGGATCGATTTGTGACCACTAGTTATATGGAAATTCCTTACTAGGTTAGCGACTGTAGTTTTCATAACCATCATGGCATATTTCAAACCTAAAACCATTTTTACATATATTTTTTTTATTATTAAAGGTGCTAAAATGAAGAACGTAGGTTTTAATGGTTTCTTGTTTTATTGTTTTTCTTTTTATTTGATTATTTTATATGAATATTAATTAATTTTGGAACAAAAATTATCTCGTTGTTTATCCTAATACTTGCAGGCAAACAAAATCACTCACTTTGAGTTTATGATATTTTTTTACAGTTTTCACAATTTTTACCCAAACTATACACCTAAAGAATTATCCTAGAAAGCCAAAATTTTGTAGCATGGTCCATAGAAAATTCGAAAAAACGAAGCAAAAATTAAAACAAGTGACATTTAAGGTTTATGAAATACTGGGCAAGTAGTAAATGGCTTCCTTTATAGAGGGTTCAAATTTGGTACCAATATTATTACATAGTCACATCCAAAAATGTCCTATATGTAAGTCATTCCACACAGTTTTTGACAAGCAGTTTTTGATTAAGCATTAAACTTTATACAACTCGGCAAAACTATAACGTAATGTATCTAACAGTTTGTAATATTAAATTTAAACTTCAAATCACTATATCATTATTACAAAATTAAAAAAATATATTTTAGAAACGTCATATATATAAAGATAAAAATAAAGAGATATAAAGATAATATGAAGATCTAAAGATATGAAAAGAATATAAAAATAATAAAATTTAAATTTAAAAAGTATATAAAGTAAAAATAACTACTTGTTAATTTTTTTTGTATTATCGCTTGGCATGGCGTTATAATTATGATTATAAGTAAAATTTGTTAATTGATAACTAAATAATATAAATAAAGTAATGATAATTTAAATTTTTTAATAAAAACTGTCACAAAATATGTTTTCTCTCTGTTAATTTAAGATTGCAGCAGATATGTGATTTAACGGCTTCGAAAATACACAACTTTGTACTTTTAGATAGAAACGGACCCATGTTTAAAAAAAATAAATATTAAGAATCAACCCAGCTATCATTTGCCAAAGATTGTCATAGAGTTGTAGAAATATTTGCATATCGAAATAGTTATTTATGAATCAAGGCAGTAAAGTCGTATTTTTTATCACGAATGTGGAAATTAACCACGTGAGTGATAAAAAATGATTAATGCCGAGGCATATTAAATTTTTTCCGAAATCACATTTAATAATACTAATAATTAATATTGATGATTAAATCAAATGTCATTTGAATGTAGGAAGTATCTACGCATACTGTTTGTTGTGACGGTTATGATTTGTAATCTACTTAATAAAATTAACTTCATCATTTTTATTAAACAACATTTTATGAAAGAGTCCAATGGACCTCCGCGACGGTGCTTTTTTAAAATATTATTTAGTTGCTGCTGAGGAGCAGTAGACACATCTTAGAATGTATAATGGGTTGCATACAATACTCGTATTAAAGTAGAACTTTGCTGCTGATTTCTTTTAATTTACTGCCAATTATAATTATTGAAAACTTTACTGCCGATTTCGGATAAAATTTTCTTTACAATAGTTAGAAAACAAGACCCTGATTGAGCATTTTTGGATTCAGCAAAATGGCTGTTGACCAGTTTAATATTTAAAAATCAAAGGTGTGCGGGAAATGGAAGAATCACAATTTTTGACTTTTGGACATTGTTTGGAATAGTTGGGAGGTCCATACTAAAAGTCTCCACTCCTAGGATGTAAGTTGCCTCAGGTTTTTTGCTCTATTTGACAAGCTTACTTTTTAGCATCTTATCCTAAGATGCTGTAGCACATTAAATTTCCTTCAAGAATAGCAAAAAAATTAATGAAAATTTACAAAAAAAATTCTCAAAATCAAAATTTGTGATCCAACCTTTTGTTGACTATTTCTGAATGCGTCATTAATATTAATTGGAATACCTATGCAGTTTCTGGGTCCGCCAGAAAATGGTACGAACGAATACTGAGGTCGTTTAGCCACTTCCTCTGGCAAAAACCTGTCGGGGTTAAATTCCAAAGGTTTTGGCCAAATATCTGGATTTCTATGAAGTTCCATAAAACTCATAATTATACTGGTATTTGCAGGAATTATGGAGTGACCTAAAAATTAAGGTTACCAATACTTTTAATATTGACTATGGTAACATACTAACCTAAATCAATGTCAGCAGTGGCATATCTTCCAGCCATTGGGATTGCCGGTGCCAATCTCTGCGATTCCGATATGACCATTTCCGTGTATTTTAGATCGCCCAGATGACTACTGCCAATTACCATATTAGGACCTACTACGCTGATAACTTCTTCGTAAACTTTTTGCTAAAAAAATATAAAATCTTCAGTATTTATAAGGGCAACCAATAAAATTTTTTTAAATCAAAACGCAAGTTACTTATCAGAGTTTATCCCGGCGCATTCGCCATATTTTAAACAAATATACAGTGTATTAGCATAAACTCGATAATACATAAATAGAGACGTGTTCCAAAAAACGCTCGGACACGTTGATTGGTATTTTTACCATTTGCGATTTAACAATTATTGTAATCTCGAATATCTCGGAAACGGTTTATTTTATCGAAGTTTGAGAGGTACACCTTTTTAATAGTAGCCGAACTGAGTAATCCAAAAATTGCATCAAATGGTATAAAAACCTAACCACAAAGTTTATATGGGACAAAAAGCTTAAGCAACCCCTGTTTCTACGACACTGCCCTCACTCGAACAATTGTAATTATGTGTGAATATGTGTTTTGCTAGTAAGTGACTGTTCGCAAAATATCACCTTTCCAAGTCTACCATATATGCATACACAGTAAAAAATTTCTGGTAAAAAACAACACCAAAAGTGGTCTATATAGGTCCACACTAGAAATGGTATATACAATTTGGTAAATTTTACCCTTTTTAATTGGTTAAAAATCTACACGTACTATTCGTACAAAAAACTCGTAACAGTGTAAAAATCATCAAATATAATACACTCTTAGGGGTAAAAGCAACACGCAATATTGGTAAAAGAACTCCATTCAAGAGTAGAAAATGCTCAATTTGGTGTAATTTACTACACATTTTGGTGTTACTTGTAGGTGTTAAAAATGGTGGGTGTTTTAATATTGAACACAGCATGTACTGTAAAATAAAGTATATTTTATATTACTTACAAACTATTAGATATGAATACAAAATTTAATAGGCTTTGGCATAAAATTAAAAAAAAAGATTAACACTACTTAGGTGTATTCTTATACCCAAGAAGTGTTAATAATTTTTTTTTATTTGAATGAAAAGTAGTACTTAATATTTTAAGTTTTTTCCAGTTTGTGCAAAACCATATTTAGCTTATATAGGTATATAAGTTAAATATGATTTTTCACTAGCTCAAAAAACTTAAAATTTTACTAAATTTCATATTTCACTTATCACAGGTAAAAAAAAACATGTTATATCACAAACATAAGTTGCATCCACTGTCACATTGCACCACTTTACCCGACCTCTGAATTTTAATTTAAAAACCATGGTCTTAAAATAGCATGCATAGGTACACTACCATCAACTGCAGTCGCTCCCTTGCCGTTAGAATGGAGATGACTACGTGACTTTTTTTTACCACAATGTGTGTAGCTGTCAACAAAAAATAGTGTCAAATGTACACTGCGTCGAGTTTATCTTTAAATTAACACTAAATTGACACGGTGCTGTGTAAAATAAATTTAAATTAACACGAATGAATTTTACCACAATTTAAAATAAACACTTAATATTTTTGACCAATTTTAGTGTATAAATTAACACCAAATGATTTTACCACTCCATTTGGTAACTTTACACCGAAATATTTTTTACTCACAGTAAAAAATTTCTGGTAAAAAACAGTAAAAAATTTCTGGTAAAAAACAACACCAAAAGTGGTCTATATAGGTCCACACTAGAAATGGTATATCTAACCACATACAATTTGGTAAATTTTACCCTTTTCAATTGGTTAAAAATCTACACGTACTATTCGTACAAAATACTCGTAACAGTGTAAAAATCATCAAATATAATACACTCTTAGGGGTAAAAGCAACACGCAATATTGATAAAAGAACTCCATTCAAGAGTAGAAAATGCTCAATTTGGTGTAATTTACTACACATTTTGGTGTTACTTGTAGGACCTACAATGTAGGTGTTAAAAATGGTGGGTGTTTTATTATTAAACAAAGCATGTAATGTAAAATAAAGTATATTTTATATTACTTACAAACTATTAGATATGAATACCAATAGGCTTTGGCATAAAATTTAAAAAAAATGATTAACACTACTTAGGTGTATTCTTATACCCAAGAAGTGTTAATAATTTTTTTTATTTGAATGAAAAGTAGTAATTAATATTTTAAGTTTTTTTCAGTTTGTGCAAAACCATATTTAACTTATATAGGTATATAAGTTAAATATGATTTTTCACTAGCTCAAAAAACTTAAAATTTTACTAAATTTCATATTTCACTTATCACAGGTAAAAAAAACATGTTATATCACAAACATAAGTTGCATCCACTGTCACATTGCACCACTTTACCCGACCACTGAATTTTAATTTAAAAACCATGGTCTTAAAATAGAATGCATAGGTACACTACCATCAACTGCACTCGGAATACTGATAGCTCCCTTGTCGTTAGCGAATGGTGATGACTACGTGACTTTTTTACCACAATGTGTGTAGCTGTCAACAAATAATAGTGTCAAATGTACACTGCGTCGAGTTTATCTTTAAATTAACACTAGATTGACACGGTGCTGTGTAAAATAAATTTAAATTAACACGAATGAATTTTACCACAATTTAAAATAAACACTTAATATTTTTGACCAATTTTAGTGTATAAATTAACACCAAATGATTTTACCACTCCATTTGGTAACTTTACACCGAAATATTTTTTACTATAGTAGAAGTTATATTAAAAAAAAATTGATAAGTAACAATTTATTACCCTGAATCTTTTAAACACAATTAGGAAAAATATTTATTTAGATTTAATCTTATTTTGACTTGCTTAATCTGCTCCTAAATTTATGCCACTAAGTTTAGGGACACCTTGTATATATGTATACACATTTTTTATAATGTTTTTTTATAGTCCCAAACTTTAATTCGTTTATTACACCCGCTAAAAGGTACAAAACATTTCAAAATTAAAGTGTTTATTTGCTACTTTATTATGATAGTCGTAGAAAAAAATAGAGTATGCATCTCCCATTAAATGGGCTTATTTTATAATTCTCATGTTCAGTTCCAAATAGCCATAATTAAATGGTCGTTGCATACTATACTAATTCAATTTAAGTAATTAAAAAAACTACTATACAAATTTTTGACTGAAAAATTTTGTTTTTTATAATAAGCTTAAATTTAACTTTTTATGACTTGTTTTGACTTAACCCTGTAACACTACCCGGGGTAAGAATGTACCCCAGCCTTCCTTAAAACTTTTTTTTGTATTGTTTGTATTGTTTTTTTAGGTTATCTATTATATTTATGTACAGGTCAGTTAATTTGGTAAAGTATACGTACACTTGTTTGGGGTAAAAGTGTCAATAACAAAAAAAAAATAAACTGAAAAAGGGGTTGAAGAGGTTGGCAACACTACAGTATAGAAATATAGACTATAGAAGAAATGATGAATAAATGTCCTAACAAAGGGCTTTAGAATTAATAATAATAATATATTTCAAATTTATTTAAATAATTTTAAATGGTTTATATTATGTGAAGTGGTTCGTTAAAACAAAGCTAATAATTTAGAATACGTAGGTCAAAATCTATATATCTATACTATATGAAAGCTTTGAGAAGGAAAGAGAGGGGACGCTTAATATGACCAATGGAAATGTGGGAAATGTGAACCAGGCTGTCAACAATTTCATGCATAATTTAATCATAAAGGAGATCATTCTGAATAAAAGACTGCATATTTAATTAATAAGTAATTGATTTAAAAGAATTTTGAGTTATCATTTGAGCCCTCAAAATGTATTATTTTTGAAGAAAAAAAAACAGAACGCCCTCAGCTTCCGAGATTACATATCCGTTTTATGATTCCATGGTGTTTTAAAGCAAATTTACCAAAAACAGAAGAACAAACTATACCACTTTGCAGTAAAAATGTTATTGATTTTTAAATAATATTTTAAAGGTGGTTAAACAATATATAGTTATTATTATCTTGTATTTTAATATATTTTATTGAAATTATTTTTATTCAAAAGAACTAATGTCATTAGACGTCATTTTGTCGCACGCTGACAAAAGGTCTTATAACATAAGTTCTTTATGCTCTTTTATCTATTTTGCAAAAATTCTATAAAAAAAATTAATTTTATACCTTAAATTTAATTTGGTCGAATTTTACTTTAGATAGTTAAAGAAGAAAAAAGGATTTTCTTTGGTGTTATAAAATTTATTGCCAGAAAAGTCTCGTAAGTACTAGAAAAATCATAAATATATTTTAACCAATATGCAAAATATTATGCTGTATAGCCAACCTATAAAATCAAAAATTTTGGTGGGATTAAGTATCTCATTAAAGCAGTGTTATAATGAAGTCATTATGAACGCAAAATAGATAAAGGAAAAATTTAACTTTTATTTTGCCCAGTTCATTTATCAAGTTAAGATATAGAATTCTAATAAATAAATAAAGTCAGTTTTTTCATAAAATGTAGTCGATTTTATAATGGGAATAGAGGATACTAGGTAGTTGTAGAAAAAATATTTACCTGAACATCTTGATTAATCCCCAATAATATACTTATATAGGTCAGGGTATAAGCAGTTGTATCGGTGGCCTGAAACAAGTTTTGTTAAATAATCATCCTTTTTGTGCTGAGCTCAAAGTTTGACAAAATTTTATCTTCAAGGCACAGGTTTATTTGTTAAACGATACAAACGTTCTTACAATTATAATAATATTAATAATTATTAAAAGTATAAAGTGAGGTTAGATAGCTTTAGAGTTGTCTACCCTAATGGCTTTTAATAGACTAGGATGAAAAAAATGTTAACTGATTGGTATAAATAATTTTTACAGCCTAGTAGAAAATTGAATACTTTGGCAGTGTGCATTGACAATAATAATGCTTGAAGATAAAACTATTTATTTAGTAAATTGGTAAAGAGGTATGATTTTTGATTTAACCAATATTAAATTGGAAACTGTTCATCTAATCTACCGCCCTGGTAAAAAATGGGTTTCGCTAGTAGTTAGTAGCGCCACCACTCGGTTGTTATCATCGTAACAAAAGTATAACTTTTAATAATCAGCTGTCAAACGCTTATGATACAAACGAGCGTTTTAGAGAATAAAGCCGGAAAATGTTAAAAAATATCGAAAATAAACCGTGGCTCGATTTGTTGGGTTGTTGGGTGTATTTCGAGAGAAAATCCTGGGTTGAGTTTTTACCGGTTTTCCAATAAACAGTGTTAATTTGAATTAAGAAATAAATTGCATAAAGTCTCTGTAAATATAAATTGTACCTATTAGATACCATAAATACACATTTTAGTAGTGATTAACGTGAGAAGTAAAAATCGTCAAAATCAAAGTCGTCTAAATTTAAACAGCATTTAGCATTATTAAAAGCGTTGATTAAGAAAGTCTCCACTTAACGGTAAAATACCATTATTATTAGTATTATGTATTATATATAATATTATGTTGCCATGAATTCGTAGGTATATTTTGTTGTTTAAATTGCAGTTGTCAGCGTTTTAAGAAAACTCAAATATAAAAATGGTTGATTTTAAGGTTATGTTTGTGCAAAAATTATTTTTTACTAATTTCTTAAAAATGTCCAAACTTAAATATGAATTATATTAGGTAAAGTTATCATTAGTTAATTCTGCACCAACAAATGTACTTACCGAATTGGATCCTTTGGCAAAACATGAAAATGCAACGATTTAGTACTTGAATTTTATTTACAATTAAAAACACAATAATTCACCATGATCCCTTTGATAAAATAGACATACTAACGAAACTATAAGCATTTAAGCGTTGAGTTTCTTAATCAATGATATAAGGAATAATCAATCGAAATCGAGTACTAAAAAAGTTTTTTAATTTTTTTCTTGCAACGTAAAACACAAATAACGTGCGCGATTTAGCTGTGCAATTGTAAGTAAGACTTCTGCCTTTCTCTCTAATGTAAAAAAACTACCTATTTATTTAAAAATGATGTATAATCTGTGCTTTAAATGTATTGTTGACAATTCTTAAATTCACGCAATGCATTCGAAGTACACCAGATGGCGCGCGCGTTGCGAAAACCCGATACTTCTTTAGTTTATTGGTTTTAACATACAAATATTGTAGGATCTTCTTAGATTACTACAAAAAGCAATGTAAAATTTAAAAACCCTTTACCTTTTAGTCTTTTAATTTGAAAAATTTTACTTACGGCTCCAGCAAATAATACCATTTCTTCTGCGATGTACTCGTCAGTAAGACTTTCCTTATCAGCAACTTGTAATAATAAATCCAAAACTGGCAGTCTGTGAACATCTATCATTGCGTCTGAATGTTTTGTTCGAAGATCATGCTTCGTAGTCATGATCTAAAAAGTAACCTTTAAATAAAAATAATAAATTTGAAATAAATCGTTACCTGTCTAACATGTTTTTTGGCATTATTATCGTAAAAATTTAATAGTTTACAATCCGATACAAATTGATACAAAAAGTCATTCATTTTTATTAAATTACCAATTCTATTAAATGCTATTTGTTGAAGTCTAAAAAAGATTGATGTTTTGAACATAATATGTACATTTAGATATAATATGTGCCGCATTAGGTAGGTAATAAATAAATAATAATATCTTAAAACAGAATTAAAAAAAAGGAAAATATTATTAGAGAAAGTAGAACAGGAAATTACCAAAACCGGAAATTTGTTCTGACGAAATTTTATAAAAGTACAGTGCCTCGGATTTTTCATCGATACAATAAAACATTTATTGTTTATTAATTTCTATTTAAATAAATACAATCACTTTGTATACAACAATACTTCCCTACTATAGAGAAAGGCAGTAACTATCAAAAAATTAAATTGTGTTTTCTTGTACTAAGGTTAAGCTATGGATATATCTTGTATCTTAATTCAACACAGAAATGCAATAACTAGCTTATAAGTTAAAAAACCAATTAAATACCTACTGCTTTTTATAAAAATGTAGTTTATGCTAATTTCCACAAATTTATTGTCAAGCAGTTATTGCCTTTCTTCATAGTAGGCCAAAATATTGCTTGGAACGTCAACTCAGAAAATCAACAATAATTACACTGTGATACAAAATTAAGGTTTGCGAAAGGGAATGGAATAAAACCAAAAGCAAATGAAAGTTAATACTTTCCACAAGAAAACCCTATCAGGTTTTTTTTATATCACGTCTCAGTTTTTTTTTTGTACGCATTTAAAGATGGTAAATTTTTTGACACCCTATAGGAAAAACATAAGTAAAACTATGTTAATTATTCAAAATAATTTTGTCAATTTGATCGAGGAATCCATTTGTGATGTTAATTTTTACCAAAGACCCTCAGAAGAGGACGCTATCAAAAAATTATTACTAATTTTTACTATTTTTGAAGGTAAGAAATCCATTTTTGTCATCCGTTTGTTTGTAAAATATACCCTAGGTGATATTCGAAAGCAATTTTTAATATTTTGGATTTATTAGTATAGAAAACTTGTTTTTTTAAGAAAAAATAGCATTTTTACTTCTTAACTAAACATTATTAAATTCGCTATTTTATTTTTATTTAAAAACTATCACTGTTGTAACCGGCAGTAACACGAGTTTAAGTACCAGAAGTTCCAGCTGTTCGTCCAAAAATTGATAAAAATGCAAAATATAATTAATATAATCAAAATTACCATGTTTTAGTATAAAAAAATACCTGAATTATACCACAACATTGGAACACCAAATTTCATTGACTTCTTTTTCTTTTGTGATCATTTAATTAAATTGTTATTACAAGTTCTGCAAACTTTTCAACATATTCAATTATATGTATACCGTTATATTGTAGGTACAATTTTTTACATTTTTATATTTTGGAACTAATAAAATAATTTAATTATATATATTAATTAAAAAAACGTTTTATGTTGCTGTCACTGATTTACTATATAGTACATAATATTATGTGTTTTTAAGTAAACAAATCATTTTTTTGCTACAAAAACTGCAATTTTTTGTAGTAATAATATTTTTTCAAAAGGGCGAATACGCCGAAATACTTTTTTTTGTTTTTATCAAAACAGGAAAATGGCATATTCGCCCTTTTGCAAAAATACCATATTACAATATATTACCACAAAAAAATGTAGTTTTTGTATACAAGTATTGTGTTTTGATTAAAGCATTAAAGAAAATATTTTTTTTTTATAAAAAATGCCCAATTTTCTAGTAAAAATGCTCTTTACTTGAAATGGATTCCTCGACTATATTGCCAGAATAATTTTAAAAAATTAAAATTGTTTTACTTATTTTTTTCCTATTATAGGTTGTCCAAAAATCTACCAACTTTAAATGCGTATAATAAAAAACTGAGACGTGATCTAAAAAAAACCTTATAGGGTTTTTTTGTAGAAGCTATTACCTTTCATTTGCTTTTGGTTTCATCCCATTCCCGTTGGCACTGTTGCACTGTGTTATTATTGTTGATTTTCTGAGTTGACGATCCAAACTTTTCCAGCTATTTTGTTTTTATGAGTTTTATAGAGTTAAACCCTTCCACGAATTTAGGGTTTGAGAACAAGAAAAAATCTCAGGGGGGCATAATAATGCGTTTTATAAATGTATACAAATGTATACAAATTTTGACCATACAAGGAGAAAATAAAACAAAATTGATGCGCAATAAACTATTGGAAATAATATTTAATGTTTAGATTCTTGCTAACTATAGTTTTTGGCAAAAATAATGATTTCAAATAGTACTTTTACATCGACGTTGACGTGAACATTTTATATTGAGTGGATTAGTGTTCTGCACATCAGTGGTTACTGTTTTATTTTCTTATAGGGTCCGAATCTGCTCGTTCAAACATGTTTTTAGAGACCTGATTGCCATGCCCTTTTTTTTTTAAAGAAGAATTAACTCCTTTAAATGATAAAATAATAAATATAAAATATTATGATAGTAGTAAGGAAAAGATGAGAGTCCTAATCAGAACGTTTAAAATGTGCCACATGTGAACCAAAAAATGGCATCTAATTAAATAATTCAAGCACATTTGTAGTTTATGTCAAAGGGAAAACGTCATAACTTAGACTGTAGGGGGCTATTTTGGCGCCCTTATTTAATTACTTTTTAAGAAGAATTACACAAAACAAACTTGGTAACACTTCGCGACGCCTTTTTGTTCACTACGCTTGTTTGTAATGGGTGTTATGGGTCCATATATACTTACTCTCTTATAGCTGTAACAAACATATGTTCTTTAGTATCTTCTAAAATGGTTGATTCAATTCCCAATGTGGCCTCTAAAAATTACGTAAATTATATGCATCCTTTTTTTATTTAAGGATATAGTCATAGGGTATTTTTGGGATTTTGTCTTTTTAAGAACATAATGGAAATTTATTATTTGGTATAGGTAATTAAAATTATAATATTATAGTATTTAATCAGCTTTTCTATACCGGGTGTATTTGAGAATAGGCGCACCCCGGTAACTTTTTTATTTATAAAGATAGGCACATGATATTTAGCATGGTTAATTAGGATATAAAATGCCACTTATAAGAGTACAAAATGAATTTTTTGAACTTCCGGTTTCGCCGGAAATGATACCTTCGATTTTAAAATGGAATGTCCTATACATTTTTACATATTTGGAATCCTGAGGAAATTCTGAGTCAGACAGCATCCATAAACTTACCTTTTGACATTTCGTCATCAGAAAATGTATCATCACAAAGATCAATCTAGAGTGCTTTGAATTATCTTATTTTCTTCTAATGGATTCACACAATGCCTGAAAAATGGAACTTAGAAACTTGTTATTCCCAGCAGTCAAAATTCGTTTATCTCAAATAGTTCAAAGCACTCTAGATTGATATTTATGATGATGCATTTTCTGATGACGAAGGTCAATTTGAGGGTGCTGTCCGACTCTCAGGATTCTAAATATGTAAAAAAATATAGGGTATTCCATTTAAAAATCGAAAGTTGATAGCATTTCCGGCAAAACCGGAAGTTAAAAAAATTCATTTTGCACTCTTATAAGTGGCATTTTATATCCTAATTAACCATGCTAAATTTCATGTGTCTATCTTTATAAATAAAAAAGATACAGGGGTGCGCCTATTTTCAGATACACCCGGTATAGAGGTAAAAAGTTAAAAGAACTGTTTGTATCTTTGCTACCATATTACATAATAAGTTGTGCATTTTAAAATAACAGTAATTATCTATATCTTTTTTTTCATCAAAATTGAATAAAACATTTAGAAAATAGTTTCTCGTATATTTACCACAAAATGTGTCAAGTGTAAATTTTCCAAACAAATGTATGACGTCGTTATTGCTATATCTTTCTTTTTTTATAAGGTCCACCAAGGTGCAAGTTTTATTATAAAATGTATCCATAAATTCATCCAAGATTGTTTGTTTAAAACTTCTTGAGATTATTCTCCTATTTTTTTTCCACCTGGGCACTAAAATTTTTAAGCAAAATAATACAAAATAATATTTATTTCTGTACTAGGGTGTTTAATGTTTATTTGGTTATCTGGTTTATAATGTTCAATGCGTCAAAATCATCCCCAACTTTAAAGCGTTTTTTATAGTTTTATTTACTTTAACTTCTCTAAGATTAGTCCTATTACACAAATACATTACAAATAGTACAACTTTTAGACATTGTAGTTTATATTAACATTATTTCAAAATAAAAGATATTTTGTGGATGTTGTAGTTTATGACTTGTTCATGCAAATATAAATGAGACTCAAAAAATATCACGCAAGGCCCATGCAGATTCAGATTTCTGTTTAAAACAACCCATCTACGTTTTAAGAAAAGGATCATGGATTATTTAAGGTCTAGAATTATTTTAAAGGGAATTGTATGTACGATGTATTATGTATTAAATATTATACGAGGTGTGTTCAAAAAACAACGGGAATTGTTAAATTTCGCGGGTTCGGAGGGTCCGGTTGTCATAAAATTTTCTTTATTATGTTGGTATACATGCCCCCGAAGTATGATAAAAAATTTAGCTGTTTTCATTGTTTATTTTGTCTGTGGCAGCCGCTAAGGTTAGATGTGTTTTATGAGCTCAGCGATTTTCGTTCGTTAAAAGAAATGGATCAAAGAATTTGGTATCCAATTTTGCTTAAAAATGAAATAAATTCTGTGAAATATTAACAAAGGCATATAGTGAGTCTGCTATAAGTAAAACAAGAGTTTACAAATGGTATAAGAGTTTCCAAGATGGCCGTGAAGACGTTGAAGATGACGAACGCCTCGAACGCACAAGCACATTAACAACCGATAAAAACATGAAAAAAGTGGAAGAAATGGTTATAAACCATCAGAGAAGTCGCTGATGATGTTGGTATATCGATTGGCTCATCCCATGAAATTTTTTCGAATGTTTTGGGATGAAACGCGTGACAGCAAAATTTGTTCCAAAATTGTTAAATTTTGAACAAAATTTTTGGCCAAAAACTATACTGTAATGATGCCCCAGCCTCCATATTCGCCAGACATGCCTCTGAATGACTTTTTCCTATTTCCAAAAATAAAGAGAACCTTAAAGGCCCGTCGTTTTGCAAGCATAGATGACATTAAAAGCGCATCGATGAAATAACTAAAGGCTATCCCAAAGATCGAGTTTTAGAAGTGTTTCGAGTATTGGAAGAAGAGCTGGCCCATGTGCATAATATACAATGGGGACTATTTTGAAGGCGATAACATTAATGTATATGAATAAATAAATATTTGTTTCAAAAAACGAAAATTCCCGATATTTTCTGAACACACTTCGTATACTATATTATTACCCCCTTTCTTCATTGGGCTTTTATAATATTGTATTTTATATTTTATTTAATACCTTTTTCAATGAGTAGGCTTTTTCCTACAAACCCCCTTAAATGATTATATTCCCGACTTTTTTCCATAGAGCTAGGGTGATTAAGTATAATTTTTATATCTTCAACTTTTGCTGTCATGAAGGTCCTATAAGGTATGTAAAGATACATAGGGTTACCCCATGTTTGAAATGCGTACTGCACAGCCTTTAAAATATCTAAAATATTATAAATTGCACTCATAGAATTAAAAAAACATGATATTTATACACTTACTTCTTCCTAATAAAATATATGCATTTCCTATTATCGGGTACCAAGTGGGTGTTCCTAGCTTGTAGAAGTTTTTATATTGTTTTTTTTCTTTAGTTTTATAGTAATAGTATATTGACAAAAGTACTAAACTCACTACTAAAATATCGAACATTCTTATATCAGTCACTGAAATAAAATATTAAAAAAATAGAGACAAGAAAGGAAATAGAAATTAATATTTATAAATAATATATTATATGACCTTATATTAGTGTAGTACGTGAAATTGCGTCTCATTACAATAAAAGTAGATAAATAAACAAACAATAGTTTAATTAATTGGTCAAGAAAAACAAATAATACACATTAGTAGATTATTGACAATATAAAACAGGCATTTCCATATACTTAGACCTGTATTTTTTATTTAATTTATCGTTTTCAAGCTCAGAAAACCTCCAATGTAGCAAAATGATAATGTAACACTGAGAAAGATAAACATTTAAAATCAGCAAATATTTGGATATGTGATATTTCCCAATTATTTTTTACATTGAACGTAAAACCTTACGTGCTCGAAATTGACTGGAGATATTCACAGCTTCACGGAGAGAAATGTATAGTAAATTTTAGATAGTATAAAAAATATAGTAAAATTTACTTTAACAAATTTTTAGGGTAGCAATATTATATATTCGTCAATACAATATTAAGATTGTAATACTAAATCATAAATGTATAATATATATTTTAATTTTTAATATGTTCGTATAGTAAATTGATTTTACTATCTACAAATAGTAATATTTACTATATAATTTAATTAAATGTAAGGTGTACATCTAATATTATAATATATTACACATTAATAAAAAATATAGTAAAAATAAAGAAACTTTTATGTTTAAGGTAAATAAACAATATATTTAAATATATAATACAATATAGTAACTCATAACATTTTAAACATTCAATTTTCTTATTTTCTTCAAAAAACTTTCTTGACCCATTACTGGTAATACTTATAAGAAAGAATTGAACCTACTTGGTTGCATAGTATGTACCGATTGCGGCAAAGGCCACGTCGCGACGCGTCGTTAGACGGTGTGGATCACGTGGTGTTCTTACATCTCGCCTCTGTTGGCTTACCAACCATGTTATATAAGCTCAGGTATTTATTTGTTTTTGGGTGTGTTCCACTACTACAAGTTGCTCGACAGTGTTGACACTAGTTGATACCCAATATAGGTCAAAACACCTGTCTGTCGGTATTTAAAGTTGATGGAACGCACTCAAAACAAAAAACTTTGGCGAGGTGTAGGTTCAATTCTTTCTCATAACATTTTTGTATATTAAAAAGTACAATAAATATGTATATGTAACATATAAAAATATTTTATATTTAAAATGGCAACATATTTTAAAATTTACTATAGTAATGGAAAAAATCTAATTATAATAAGAATTAAAAACAAAATTGGTTGAGAATAATAATATTTTACCAAGGTTTTACATACATGGATATTTAAAAATTACTAAATATGCATAGTATCTGGCAATATACAAGATAGTCCCAAATATTAATATGGTAATATAAATTATAGTAAAGGGTATTATAATTATGGTAATCAGCATTATACTTTTCTCTCCGTGTAATTATCAATATATTGATATAGAGGAATACGTTTCTACCAGGTTGCCTTTCAAAATATGGCCGCAAGAATCTTTAACTAAAATTTAATTAATTATTTTTTCCAAAGAATTGCACTAGTTTAGAGATAAATTATAATTTATTTCATAGAGAGATATGTCTCTCTATGAAATAAATTATAATTATAATATGTAAAGAACTTAAAAATTATGGGTTGTCGTTTCTCACTTGGCCGCAACTTCTTGGCAACGTATTTTAATGAATTATATATTAAATTAAAGCTGCTTTTTTCTGTATATAATGGTATACGGTTGCTTGTGTAAAAGTGCCTGCGAATGGGGGTTGCCAACTGATAGCTAACCACACCGTTCATCAGAAAAGATCGCAGTGTGCCAGTATTACTTTATTTTAAAACGTCAGTTTTTAATGTAACAATTGCGTGCAATTAACAAGTACGCAAGCAAGTACGTTTGTAAAAGTAAAATTTAAATAAAAAAAAATTAAGAAGTGTTTTTTTGTGTAATGAGAAGGACAAAGTCCTAGTTTAAAAATTGTATAGTATATTATGTAAGTATCAAGTTTGATAAACGCCATTTAAGTCACGAATTTTAATTAGGCAAGAGCGGGATTTTGAAATGAGTGTCTAGAAAAGTTTATAAACAAGTTGCACACTATACTTTTTCTATGACAAATATTAGTGGGTATAAAGTTATTATTGTTACTTATTAATTTAAATATTTGTAAAGAGCGACATCTATACAAAAATAGAGTACCTAACCTGTGAACCTGTTATTCCGGCTTTTAAAATGGTAGTTAGATGTCAAATTTTTCTGTAAAGATCGAAAATTATCTCTTGAAATGCACTTAAAAATTCGATGTAGAAGCAGTTTTTACAGTGAAAATGAAGAGGATGTATTATGGATACTCTACCGTACCGCGTGTATTAAGATAATTCAATATTTTTACATTTTAGTATTATTTCAAAAGAAGGGTACTTTATTTTAACGATTGTATAACATTTGAAAACTTTCAACTAACTTAAAGCTAACTTTAGCCCGTGATTAAAAACCTGTTGCTAACTTTAGCCTGTGTCTAAAACATAAAGCCACAACTTGTCAATATGTATTTAAAAGGTCACTAAGTGTCATGGAAACATGTACGATAATAAGCGTTTTCAAGGTGGAAGTAGAAAAAAATATTTAAACTTATTAAAGCAAAACTATTTAAATATTTTAAAATTGGCTTTAAACGTGATTTAATATGTTTCATGCATTATAAATTAAATTCTGATATTGGACCCAAAAATCCATGATGTAACCGTTAAAGCTGGAAATAATATTATTTATTAATTATTATTACTAATATTAGCTTATGAATGAAATAAGTTTTTACTTTTATTAGATGTTTATAAATGCAAGAACACGTGTAGTTCATTAAAAACTTGTTTTATTTAAGTAATAAACTTAAAATTATTCAAAATAAAATTAATTAATACAATAGTATTATTTTTAGTTAGTAAATATAATAAAAAGTGAAATTCAAATACCTGGTATTACCTAGAACATTTTAAAAACAACTTTATTTTATACACATTGTAATGCAAGTAATAATGTGTAATTATATATTATTTAGTATATTTTTTGTATATTTTAATTGGACATTTTAAAGATAGTCAATCATTATCTTTATTTTTTATATCCAGATATAAAAGTATACCTACGTTATTAATATATTCATTTTATGTAAAAATATATTATTGTTGTTAAAAATGCATGAAACCATAATAATTATTTAATGTTTTTCAATAAACTATGGGAGGGCTATTTTTTAGGGTAGCCAAAAATTTAAATTTTGATTTATTTTTGAGATAATAACACAGGGTGGGTCATTTTAAAAAAAGGTGTAAAATGGCATTGTTATTCCATACGTATTTTTGTTTTGGGGTTTGGTTGAGTTTAAGTGCCTCCGGATTTGAATTGAATTAAATTAAAATATACATGTTTTTGAATTTATTTCTTAATTAAAGGTATATTATACATTAATATATTTTTTATTAAATAGAATGACAATTGTACTATTACTATATACTAAAGAAATGTTTTGACCTGTTTTTGTCAACTTATTTCATTTTTAGTTGTATGATTTTAATTTAAAAACCCCGTATATGAGAAATAATGTATTTATGTTTTACAATGAATTAAGTATGTAAATAAATTGTATTTGGCCTGATTAAAAGAGATAAATTAATGAGGGATACCTCTAGAATTACGATTAAAACCCAAAATATCAAATATGTATAAGGATTAAATTAATTATTAATAATTAATACATATTATAAAACATTTTAAAGAAAATCATAACCTTAAAATTTACAGTTAACCTATACCTACAAAATGAGGAACAATACATATAAGCTAATGTTTGCTTAATTAATATATTCTATAAGTAAGATTTTACAAACCTATAAGTATGGAGCGTAATCGTAAAAATTGTAAATGTTCCTTATTTGGTGATGTGTGTGATTTAAAATACAATATATTTCCCACTTATGCAGAAGTCATGAAGTTTTATGAGTGACCCAAAATAATATAAAATATGAAAAAGGAACTAAAAAAAGAACCCTTTTATTACAAAGAAATATGAATTATTGTGGTTTTAAAACTTAAAAAAATATGGGATAAAGCTTCTTTCTATGCCTACAGTAGAAAAAAAACGAGGAAAAACTATGTTACAAGCATAACATTTAAAATGCAAAAACAACTTAAAGTCTCACCCAAAAATACTTTTGTTTGATATTTCGGCTTGCAATTGCCGAGATATAACTAAATGTACCCGCCCTAAACAGAAAAAAGTACATATAAGAGAACAAAGCCATTCCAGAAAAATGGTGGTAGGGAGCTAGATGTTCCCACAACCACGCAATTTAGAAAAACATTAGAAAGGAAGTTACAAAAAAAAAGAATCTCTAATTAAACGTCAGAAAATAGATGAGACATGTACGAAAGAAGAGCTTAGTAGTACATGAATGTAACAAGTCTGATTGCGAAGACTTAACTATAGTTACAAGCTGCAAACACTGAATCAGAGAGTACTTTCACGGTGGAAGTGGAAGTTCCACCATTACAGTTGATTAGGCTTTACTATTAATAGTAGAGGATCCCAAGTAAGGTCGACCTTCACTCATCTGCTTACCAGATGAAAATTATATTTTATCAAATAAAATATGTTTCTGAACATAAACCAATAGGGTTGCCATAAAAAATATGATCATGGCTATAATAAATAAAAAATTAAAAAAGTAATTTATTTTTTAAATTTCACCGACTTGCTTGCCAAATGAACGAAATTCCAATGGAAAGCATACAACATACAGAATATGTAACAGCTAGGTTGCCTACCTTTTTCTGGTCCCTATTACCTGGTTGCTTTGTACAAACAGGTAAGTTGATATCAGTAATTGCACTCATATGCTTACCACTTAAAAAATATATCAAAATGAAGGCAATTTTATTACGAATACAGTAGTATAGGGTTGCTTTGAAAAATCCGTTCATAAATAACGGTTGCTAGACTTTTAAATTAAAAAATTGGAGCAAGCAAAGATGTACTATCACTAACAAAAAAAACTTATACAGCTATACTTATATTGTGGCTGTGTGAATAAAACTTTTCCGTCAATGTCAAGGTGACATCGAGCTGTCACATCAATTATGACTTTATGAACAAAATTTAGTATTTGAGTATATGCTATTGAGAAGCGTTTTGGAGCAAACAGTTCGTTTGTAAACACGTGTTTTGTGAAAAAAATAAAAATGGCGAAGAAGTGTTTTTTATGTAAATCAAGTGAATCAGTGATTGACTTTGATGAAAAATCTTTTGAGAATTGTTTTTTGAAGTAAGCGTACCGAAAATCCAAAGACTTTAAGTATAGTGAGGTACAGTTAAACGAACATTTAATAGACTTGGTAGGATATCACTCCTCATGTTATAAAAAAATCTACAATGAAGATTTTAATGAATTTGTTAAAAATATTGAACATGAGGAGTGATATCCTACCAAGTCTATTAAATGTTCGTTTAACTCTACCTTACTATACTTTAAGTCTTTAGATTTTCGGTACGCTAACTTCAAAAAACAATTCTCAAAAGATTTTTCATCACTGATTCACTTGATTTACATAAAAAACACTTCTTCGCCATTTTTATTTTTTTCACAAAACACGTGTTTATAAACGAACTGTTTGCTCCAAAACGCTTCTCAATAGCATATACTCAAATACTAAATTTTGTTCATAAAGTCATAATTGATGTGACAGCTCGATGTCACCTTGACATTGACGGAAAAGTTTTATTTACACAGCCACAATATAGCTGTATAAGTTTTTTTGTTAGTGATAGTACATCTTTGCTTGCTCCAATTTTTTAATTTAAAAGTCTAGCAACCGTTATTTATGAACGGATTTTTCAAAGCAACCCTATACTACTGTATTCGTAATAAAATTGCCTTTATTTTGATATATTTTTTAAGTGGTAAGCATATATGAGTGCAATTACTGATATCAACTTACCTGTTTGTACAAAGCAATCAGGTAATAGGGAACAGAAAAAGGTAGGCAACCTAGCTGTTACATATTCTGTATGTTGTATGCTTTCCATTGTAATTTCGTTCATTTGGCAAGCAAGTCGGTGAAATTTAAAAAATAAATTATTTTTTTAATTTTTTATTTATTATAGCCATGATCATATTTTTTATGGCAACCCTATTGGTTTATGTTCAGAAACATATTTTATTTGATAAAATATAATTTTCATCTGGTAAGCAGATGGGTGAAGGTCGACCTTACTTGGGATCTTAGACTATAAAAACTTGCGATAGATATGCAGTGTCAGATAGGGCAGCCATTGCATCAGCAGTTCTTTACGCATCTACTTCACAAGTTATAGACAAAGTAATAATAAAAAGTAAAAAAAAAGAGAAGCAATAGTTTTACAGATACCTGCATTCGATGGAAGGGAAGACAAAACTTTAGTGATTTGCTGTTGGTAGATGAAGTAGTTGTAGGGATGTTACATTGGACTGTCGTCATCTTGGTTTTCTTGATTTTCACAACGTTTCGATTGGTCCATCGTCTTTAGGTAATAATCAAGAAAACCAAGATGACGACAGTCCAATGTAACATCACAAAACTTTAACTGTATCAGAAAAACATGGAAAACAATACAAGAAAAGCATACTTGAAGAGCACATTTCTTTGATAAAAGAACCTGAATAAAAGTTGTTTGGCTATATCACACCTACTTCTGGAACAGCAAAAGATATAGAACAAGCATTTGTCGACTATTTCTCAAATGCAGATTTATTTATGGGTACTCCGATGGCAATTGGGTGTGATGGAACCAATGTAAATGTATGTAAATACGGCGTATTAAACAGTTGCTTGAGAAAAGACTAAATAAGCCATTACAGTGGATTATATGCTTATAACATATGAATGAACTGCCTTTTAGACATCTATTTCAACACCTTGGTAGCAGTACATCCGGACCACATACTTTTTCAGGACTTGTTGGCAAAGAACTGGAAAACTGTGAAAAAAGACCTGTAGTTCAGTTTCAACCTATTACCACGGACTTACCAGAGCTCTCAGTTAAAGATATTAGTACGGATTAAAAATATTTATTCAAAATAGTCCAGGCAATTTCTACTAGAATGTTCCATAATGATTTAGGGAAAAAATCTTCAGGCAAAATATCCTATGCTCGCTGGCTAACTCGTGCCAGCAGAATTCTTCGCCTGTAGATTTTAGAGAACCACCGATACTAAAATCTATAACAGAAGAAGAACTTGTTGGTCTAACATAAAGGAGAAGAAGACATGTCTTTATAACAATTACCTTGTCACCCACAATCAGTCGAAAGAGTAGTCAAAACTGTGACTAAGGCTTTAATTACCTTATGCTACAAAACTGTAGAAGGAAAGGATTCATAAAAGCTCAAATATGTAGAGTCATGAAAAACAATGCCGAAATTCAACAGCAAAAAGGACTTTTTATCCAACCACACCAACTTAAATAACTAACAATATTTATAATTTCTCTTTAATAACTAGCAAATTATTTTTGTTTATGTGCACACACTACAAATTGTACAGTTATTTAGAGTGATACGATAAGTTTATTCCTTAAATAGCGATGAAATATTAAATTATTTTCTTCTCCCTATATAAATGACCCACCCTAATGACCAATGACCCTTGGTTAAAGTATTTAAATAAAAAACATTTATTTGGATGTTTGGGTTTTTTTTTGAAAAAACTCTTTTTACAATATGTCGTAAAGAAAGGCCAATTAAGCAAAATAATAAAATGCTCACTTTCGGAATCGTCGTATACAAATTACCCTAAAAAAAATCGTTGGCTCCACTGTGGCAAAAAAACATAGAGATAGAGATACGTTTTACAATTTTTTTTACAATTTTTTAATTTCGTATGCCTGTATAATTAATTTGATTTTAAACCAAGTAAGCACAAGGTATATTTAATGTAGCATTACCAATAAATATTTATAAAATGTATTAGGTACCTTAGTTTTTATGAGATAATAATCCACAATAATTGTTGAAGACGATAACGACACTACAAGTAAACAATTGTATTTAATTAAAAGAGGGACATTATAAACGTTTTTCGTTTATAATTGTATTGTCGTAATTAATTATTTTTCTTTCAAAGATCAATATATACAGTACGTTAAATTTAAATTTAAAAAACACGTTTTAAAGTTCTAACATTGAAATGTTAACTATTATTTGAACATTTATTTAAAAGAACCCAAATATTAAATATCCTTTAGGCATAATAATTTTTATTTATATGATAATTAAGTGTTAAAATGACCTTAGCTTAACGTAAACATATTTTTATATTACGTAAACATTTTATTCTCTTTTGTTAGAGAATTGTCATGAGTTCAATTTGACTCCTAATGACTTTAACGTCCATTGGCTTTAGAGAGACCCATACGCCATTAAACAAAACGTGTGTGTCCAAGAAAATCTTAAAACACCCACTAAACTGTTTGGATAAATCCCTTAAGACCTTGCTAAAAGGTTAAAGCCAGGAATACGATCGTATTTCTAAGTCTCCTGGGTCAAATAACTTACTTATATTTCACAATCTTTCATCAAGCAGATCAGCACATCTCCTAGAATAAGTTGAACTCCCATTGTTTTCAAATGATGTTTTTATATAAAATTATACTATTTTATATTGTTAAATATTATGTTTTTCTTTGACTTTGAAAAACCAATTAACCGACAAAACAGTTTTTATTTCGTTAAATGTTGTTGTTTATTTTGAATTTAATTGTCCAAGGTAAAGGATAAGAGATATACCGCGTGCATCCATTTTTTTTGATCTGGATGTTTATTCATAGATTAAAACAGTTACCATTGATGCGTACAACACCCATACAGTTTACATACAATGTCTGTGTCAATGTGAAAGTACAATTTGAAATCATACAATTTGTAATAAAACCTTACGGGTTACTTTGACAACGGCAATATTTACTTTAGTGCCAGGAACTATTTCTACGTGTATACGTCAGACTTAGTGCGGAAGTCATTTTGTTGTATATTTCATAAAAACATATCTGCATGGTTTGAAACATGTACAAAAACGTTTAAATTTTATTTTGATTTCGTTTTTATTATTATTCAAAACCACTCAATGATTGATTGTTGTTTTCCACCAATGTTGGGCGCGTAAAATATTTTTTTATTATAAACAATATTTAATAAGTACACATTATTATTTGGAAAGATTTTTAAATTTATAAGCAACATTTTTGTGAAGAAGCTATAAGGATGCACATAAGGTCACAATTTTTCTACTACCTTACTAGAAAACTTAATTTTCCACCCCCGAGCGAGGGAGGAAAATGCCTATTTTCCTCCCTGGAGGAAAAAAAATTTCCTCCCTCTTTTTTTTAACAATTTTACATTAGCAAGAGTTTTTGTACCTTGTCTAGCTCTATTTGATTTTGTAGGAAAAAGATTTACTCCGCGCTTGTCCAACCATTCTGTTTTTATTTATTTATTTATTTAGTACATACAGAGTAAATCCAAGTAGTACAAAAAAAAGATACAGTAAGAATACTTATATCAAAACAAAAAAAAAACAAAAAATATATATAATACACAAACATATAATTAACTATTATTAATAAGGTACTTTTTAAAAGAAAACAAGCTTACATTAAAAATATCGATATTACAGGAATTCAGATTACGTGCCAATCTGGGCACACAACTGAATTGCCTGTAATTAGTTCTACACAATGGAATATGTATTAATGCACTATTTCGAGTATTGATGGTAGGTACACGTAAAGAAAATAGTTTCAATATATCAGAACAGTTAATCAAATTATTAAATATCTTAAACATAAAAATTTTATCAAAGTTTATACGCCGTGTTTCGAGCGATTTTATTCCTAGCAAGGATAACTTATGATTATAACTAATATCATCCGAAATCTTAAGTTTAAATAGCAAAAATTTCACAATTTTTTTCTGAGGTTTTTCAATCAAGTTAATATAACACTGTTGTGAGGGTCTCCATATAACTGATGCGTATTCTAAAATGCTACGAGACAAAGAATTAAAAAGAATAATAATAGCATGGATATCAGTAAAATCTTGACATTGTCTAATAACAAAACCACACATTCTCATAGCCTTATTAACAATTTTATCAATATGCTGGATAAAAGTTAACTTTGTATCAAACAGTACACCTAAATCAGTCATAGTGGAGACTCTTTCCAGTTCATTATTATTAATAAAGTAATTATAATTCCAAGTACGAGTACTTTTAGAAAAAGAAATTACTTTACATTTACTTATATTTAACTCAAGAAAATTGTCATTACACCAGTCCACAATACGATCAAGATCTGATTCGAGCATTTGGTAATCTAAAAGTGAAGATACTTTTTTATACAACTTAAAATCATCCGCAAATAAAAGAAGTTCACAAAATTCAACACATGTAGTAATATCATTAATAAAGAGCAAAAATAAAATAGGGCCCAAATGTGACCCTTGCGGTACTCCTGAAGTAACATCAATAAAATATGAAGGATATCCTAGAATAACTACAACTTGCCTTCTATTAGTATATTCATTTTCATATCGCTCTTTCGATTTTTAAGGAAAGAAATTAATTGCAACTATTCTTGCCTTTTTAGCAACATTCTGACAGCTTATAAAAACTGTTATGTTCGTATTACCAAAAATACCATAGCAACAAAGCGTTGTCAACATAAAGTCGGCGACGCAACACCTACTTAATATTTTGTCATAATTTTATAGCCCCATACCGGCTTGGTAAAAGGAACCGAAACGCTTAAAATGTCTTAAACCCGTTAAAAGGCAATAGAAAAAACTAGGAGGAAAATGCGTTTCCTCCCTTGAATATTTAATGCCCCTTGCTTCGCGTCGGGCATCAAACTATTCGCGGGAGGAAAAGCACTACTTTCCTCCCATGTATGTAAATAGCTATTTATCACTATTATTTTAAGAATTTACATACATTTTGCTTAAATAGTATCTTGTAGGACTCACAATGTAGGCAGGGTTGGCAGGTACAGGTTTATTAGAACCTAGGTTTTTTAGGTTTTTTGAAAAAACCTACTCATTCAAATATCCTCATTTTAGGTTTTCTATCTTTAAATGACAAAAATCGCTTTTTTGAGGTTAACAAAGATAATAGATTATATTATCTTTGTTTTGTAAAACATGTTTACTAGAATATTGATCAGATATCTGATAATATGATCACTGACTGATCATATGATCACTGACTGATCATATGATCAGTGACTGTCTCAGTCTCAGTCACTGAGAGAGAATTTAAAGTTCCATTGAACTTCAATATTTTATGATTAGGTTGATCCATTTTTATTTTTAAATAAATATTATGAATTTATCTATATGTGTTCAGTACTATTAATTAACATTACAAATCAGCAATTTTTAATCGTCCAAAATCTTAAAAAACCTAAAAACCTGAAAAAACCTAAAAAACCATGAAAAAACCTAAAAAAACCATAAAAAACCTACAATTTATTTTTCCTATTCTTAGGTTTTTCCAACCCTGAATGTAGGTAATACTACGTAATACCTACTGAAAAAGTAAAGTTGTACTTGCACCCGCTTGTAGAAATGGAAATATTTGTTTGATACTGGGTAAAAAAAGACTAACCAATCCTACTACCTGTTTTTTTGGAGATATCCTCTTAAAAATACAATAATAATAATAAAAGTTTGTTTACATTAAAATACATTTTTTTATTACTTTTTATGAATATGGTTTTAATTAAATTTTGTTTTTTGGGTATAATTATTTAAAACACACTGTAATTTTACAAATTTAGTATTTTTTAAGGCATTAAAAGCATAACTAGGTATGTCAATTAAAGTGTGTAGGTAAGTGTATAATTAATTTTTAACGAATAACAATTTTCATATTATATAAGTCCATAATATATTTTTTTAAGCGTACTATTATTTTCATATTATAAACATTACAAGTCTATAAAGACAAACTTCCTATTACTACTAGTTAAAAAGTCAAATTATTATTAAATTCCGTACAAAAAGGGTGTCTAAAAATACATTTGTAAATATGTATTTATAAACGAGTTGCATACCAAATGTTTTAAATTAAATATTTGTATAGAGCGACATCTATAAAACAATAGAGTAACAATTTTGGGTGAAAATATCAAATTTTTGATGTGTAAATCGAAATGTATTCCTTAAAAATTAAGTAAAAACCGTTTTTCACAGTGAAAGTGACGAAAATTTTTTATGGGCACTCCACGGTAGAGTCTCCACCCAAAATTAGTTTAAATCTAGTTTAATGTCGGCGAAATTAAAAAATCTGTACAATGTTTTTATTAATTTTTTAAATATTGGCGTTGAGAAACTATTTAATAGTTTTGTATATTTTTATTGAGATAATAAAATAATTTTTACATTAAGTATTATTTTACAGGAAGGGCACTTTATTTTAACAAGCGTATGACATTTGACAACTGTTAACTAACTTACTATCTTCATCCAGTGACTAAAAACCTGATGCCAACTTTAGCCCGTGACTAAAGCGCCATAAAGCGACAACTTGTTAATGTGTATTCAAAAGGTCAATTAGTGTCATGGAAACATGTACGATTATGTGCGTTTTAAAGGTGGGAGTAAAAAAAAATAATTAAATGATTGAAAAAATAATTACCTATATAAAACCCGGCCGCAAAAGCCTATTAATTGCCTCGCACACAATCTACTGCCTCGGCAGTGAAATGTAATGTAATAATATGTGCTTTCTCCGCCTGGTCTATAATGTACTATTTTTTTTTATTAGATGTACAAAAATAAATATTTATTTTATTACTTTGAATATAGGTAGCTGCAATCTGAAGGTAGATTTCAAGTTTATTAAGTTTTAATTCGAAGAATCGGCAAGAGTTAAAATTTTTTAAATGATGAAGCCCAATCTGGCATCACTGCCTATGAACGTCACATTTTGGAACGTCGGGACGCATAAAATAAAGTTTTGCTTCAAAACTTCATA